CAAGCACTGGGTACAGTCAGAAGCGCAGGAGGGTGAGAGGATTCACCAGAGCCAGAGCGGGGAGCAGAACAGGCAGATGGACTGAAATACACTGCTGAGGGGAGCAGCGGACATGGCAGGAGAGGTCCGCGCACCATGTGGGACCCTCGCCGGGGTGGCCGGGGATGGAACCGGTGCTGCAGAGGCTGCGGGCAGCTTTGCAGCCCAGCGCTCAACCGCTGCGCCACAAGAGGAGGCCCTACATGACTGGACTTTATTGGTTCATGGGAGGTCCGTAAACTGTATGCAGTGTCTGCAAAATAGCATGTGTGTGCAGATACATAATGTTCCACATCTGTGTGTGACACAATAATGGTGATAACCACTGAGGGTATATACGCAAAAAACAATGAAAAGGTCATATGCTCAGATGACCAAAAAGTCAGAACTTAGTAATGGTGACCTTGACCTGGAAGGACTTTCAGTGAGAGTCAGGGCTGTGAGCCATGTGCTTCCCCTTCACAGGAGTAGTACCCGACTAACTGCAAGGGCGTATATGAGTAAAAAATGGTACAATGATTGGGAAGTGAAAAGCTTTGAGTATTTATTACTTTTTAAAAAAATGTAATTTATTTAATTGTGAGATGACGGAACTAATTTCTATTAATAGCTTGTTTACAAACCAGCTTGTAATTTCTGAAATCTTAACAACAACTGGTTTTGTGAGCCAGTATGAGCCAGCTCCAGCATGCCCTGGCCAGGGACCTGATTTATGTTTGTTGAGCAAGGTAAAGAGATTTATCTGGGTTCACTGTCCCAAAGCCTTCAAATCTTAGCAAGCACAACCCTCTATTCTAGTCTTGTCCCCTCCACTTTTACTCCCCACTTCAGAATACCCCAGTCACTTACCAAAAATGTCCATCCCACCAATCCCCACTTCTCTGCCTCTGGTCCAAACCCTCCAGAATCCCTTGGGCCCAGCACCAGGGTCAGGCTGTGCTGAGAGGACTCCCACGGGGCTTGCACAATGAACCCTGACTTGGCCTACAAGCTGGAGTCACATACGCTAGCCCTCTGCCCCTGGAGCTTGCTGTTCAGGCCTGCCCAGAGACCAGCTGATGGTTTCAATCAGGATAAAACAAGAGTGCAAGAAACTGGACCCTGCTTCCCTGTCAAGAAGTGCCAGGCTTTGAGCCCTGTGCTCTGCCAAGCTGAACTGCTCACAATATTCCATATGACTGGCCACAGAGCACCAGATGGTTTCAAGTGTTGCGTCTGGAATGTTCTGCAATCTTTGGAGTGTTCTTTGATCCTTTCACCTGGAAAACTTCTCATCCTTCCAGATCTAGCTCCTATATCACCTTCTTCAGGAAGGCTTCCTTGACTGAATACCTTCCCAAGCAAAAGTATGTGTCTTTTCTCTGAGGTACCACCATGCTCCTTATAAGGTTTGGTGTTTTTCTCCTAGACTGTGAGTCTCTTAAGGTCACAGGCAATGTTGTACTCCTTTCTCTAGCTCAAGGCCTAGGATATGTGTTCTGTAAATAGTTGTTCCATTAATAAGTGAATGAATTGGAGGCGTTAATGCATGTGGGGCCCAGATTAAGAATTATCGCTTAACTGAGCCTCTATTTATCTGGCAGTTCCTACAGGTGGAAGCACCTCTGGTATACCCCCTTGCAACTGAACTTCAGGTAGACATGAGCAATAGAAAACCCCTTTGCCATTCTATTCACTTTTTAAACACATATCAAAGTTTTTATTAAACTCATTAACAGGTGAGGGAACCAGCAGGATGTTACAACTTGTCCCCACCACTTACTACCTATGTGACAGATCTTGTCTCTGTGAGCTTCATAAGCATCAGCTCATGTAATCCTTGAAATAATCCTATGGGGTAGAAACTCTTATTTCCATCCTACCATTGTGGAAACTGAGACAGACACAGAGACTGGAAATGTCAGAAACTGCAAGCTGGTTGGTAAACAAGCTACTAATAGAAGTTAGTTCCATAATCTCACAATTAAACAAACTACATTTTAAAAAAGTAATAAATACTCAAAGCTTTTCACTTCCCAATCATGGTACTACTTTTTACTCTCATCTACGCTCTTGCAGTTAGTTGGGTACTCCTCCCGTGCGGGGGAAGCGCATGGCCCTCACAGCCCTGGCTCTCCCTGTGACTCCCAGAGGAAAAGCACAGACTTGAAAGTCCTTCCAGGTCAAGGTCACCATTACTAAGTTCTGACTTTTTTTTTTAAGATTTATTTATTTATTTATACAAGCACTGGGTACAGTCAGAAGTGTGGGAGGGTGAGAGAATTCACCAGAGCCAGAGCAGGGAGCAGAACAGGCAGACCGACGAAATACACTGCTGAGGGGAGCAGTGGGTGGCAGGAGAGGTCTGCACGCCATGTGGCCGGTGGCCGGTGGCCGGGGATCGAACGGGCCCTGCAGAGGCTGCGGGCAGCTTCGCAGCCCAGCGCTCAACCACTGCGCCACCAGGGGAGGCCCTAAGTTCCTACTTTTTAGGCAGGATTACCTGAGTGACTGGGAGTAGAGAGGTACCTGCCTCAGATCCACTGAAATCAGACTTCTGTGAGTGGGGCAAAAGTTGCTCACAGGCAGCAGAGTATATGAGAGAAAATCTTTAATGGCGAATCAATCTAAAGAGAAAGGGCAAGGTGAGGAGACTCTGACAAAGACCCCAAAGCTCTTTCCAGACAGGCTGCAACTGCTTTAAAGAGATCCTTTGTTCTGCCCAATGAAAGGCCCCTCTCCAAGGCACCCTCATCAGAACAATCACGAGGTGAGGACATGTAGCCATAAGCATTCCTGCCGTGGAAAGTGTGCATCAAACGTGAGGCTCCCTCCCCCTGGTGGTCACTGCTTCCTATGAGGACCTTGGACACTGTTGTACAATCACAGTTGTCTTATCTACAACATGAGAATATACTGATCGGAAGCAGGAAGCCGGGCTAGATGATTACTTAAGGCCTCTTCCAGCTTTGAAATGTATGGCACCAGAACTACAGGGTGGCAGCATTGAATTTTCTTATTCATTTTCAGTTTTTGAATCTCCAAATCTGTACTCATTTTTTTTTTCTGTGACCCAGGAGTCTTTCAAGCAAACACAGAAGTGGGTGGGGGACGAGCAAGCTGGGCAAGCTGTGATGACAATGGTGGAACCCCTGAATTCGCAATCACTAGGAAGAGAGACACTCGTTTCTATAACATGGGACTAGCGATCTACTTCAAATTAAATGTTAAAAAACACCTCCACCTATGTTCTGCTCCCTGCTCTGTCTCTGGTGAATTCACTCACCCTCCTGCGCCTCTGGCCTCTAGCCCAGCTCTTGTATAAAAATAAATAAATCTTTAAAAAAATTAATTAAAAACCACCACCACCTAGAAAAGAACCTGGCAATAGTGAATACTCAGTGGAATTCATTTAGCCTTTGGATGCTTAAGGATATAAGAACATGACTCATATTCCTGAAGGCATAATGCAGATTTGGTGTGGGCCTAAGTGGCATCCTCAGTTGGGACAGAAGATCAAATCCAGTCAATGTGAGAAAAAGATGCATGACTTTGTGCCCAAATGGTGGTGAAAAGGTAACCACTTCAACTCTCACAATTAGCCATTCCCATGACACTTCTCTCTCCCTCCAATGGGAACTCACCCCTGTAGGCTGCCTAAGCTGAAGGGCATGCTTCCATTTGTGGACAAAATGCTCCTCAGCCCTCCCATTGGTCTTATGATAGTGCTCACTTGGGCTTGCAGGAGGAGCACGTGGTCCTGGAGAATGCAGTTGCCAGGATACTGGGAGTGGCAAAAGGCATCTTGATGGGCTAAATGGGTAATAATCTCCTGTTTCCATAACTGTGTTGAATATCTTCATAACCTACCCCTAAAATGCGAGGAAAGCTTTGTATAGTAAAACTGGTCTTAGGACAAGTGAACTGTCTCAGGACTTAATTTTGTTGCCCTTGGGGGGGGGCTCCAGAATTTGTTGATTGGACTTACTGGAAGGTAGGCAGTGTTCTGCAAGGGGGTTTAGGGGGCAGCACTTTGGTAAGTGAGGAAAGGGTTTTTCATGACTTTCTAATGCAGGTAGAAATGGGAAAACCATTCACAAAAAACTGGAAAGGATGGGATAAGGGGTCTTGCAGATAAAGAGGGAGGGTTTCTTGGAGCCTGCGGTTTTCTGCCTTGACCAGGGCATACCTCTCTGTTGGGCTGACCCAAGGCAAGTCTGGCTGGGATGTTTCTGCATTACCTGGAAGTCTATATGGGGAGCATTGACCCCAGTCCCATCCCTCTCCTTTAGTCTTTCCTGGGAGTGGAAGAAATCATGACACCACTGAGGAGGCTGTGGGTCTAGTGCAGTTTTCCTTCCCCTTCCTTGCTTACATCTCATTTTGACACTGGGAGTATCTTCTAAGGAGGCGCATTTGGCCCGGGAGTACACAAAGGGTGGATGGCAGAAAAGAGGAAGCTGAAAGTGTTGGCTCTGGTTTTGCTGAAGACCTGGGGGATAATTGTAAGTTAGATCTTCTTTTTAGATAATCTAACCCAGTTCTCCAGACAGAGTTCAGCAGCCATTCTGGGCAGAAGGGCTACCTTGGAGGGAAGATCATGCCTTTGACCATGTGTAGCCACAGAAGAGCAGGCTAGGTGCAGAGAGCAACGTCTAACAGAGCCAAGCTTTCCTTCTGGGGCCTAGTTGGTCTGAAGTTCTGATTTTTCTGTTACCCCAAAAGATCCTGTTATGAAGAACAATGTCAGGCCTAAGTGGGCTTTTCATTTCTTTAATTGTCCCGCCCCCACGTCTTTCTCCCTCCAGTGGTAAAGCAGAACTCATCTGAAGTCATCAATTGCACAAGACTAAAATCAGTACCATCCCAATGATGAGACTCTGAAGCTGTGCTGTGGAAAGTAGCTTGGCCACTAGCACTCATTTCCCATGCCATTTTATCAATCTCCTATCAAAAGGTTCACGCTTTGGCCTTGGGTTTAGCCAATTACTGAGAAATGATTTAATTGAAAGGAAAACATGCCATTTGCTTTCACAAATATTTTATAATGCCAAAGAAAACAGAGTAGGTAGTGTGTTCTGCTGTAAGCAAACCCAATATGTGAATGGATTGACAAACTAGGGGCAGATTATTGGCGAAATGCTTCAACATAATTCTTTAAATAACAAGCTTCTCTGGTACACTTTGTAGAACAATTTATGGTCAGGTTTTCAGAACACATCGATCACATTGATATTACAGATCACACCTGCCTCACTGTCACACCGACAAGAGCTTGTGTCTCGTCTATTTCTTTGAAAGCTCTTCTGCTCCAACTTATTACAACCAACAGGAACAAGAAGAAAACAGAAGTGTCTATAGCTTTCCTTCCTAGTCAACTTCCAACAAAATGAAACTGAAGTTATTTGTGTAATTCTTGCCCTAAGGTATGGGTAGAGTGTTGTTACATACAAAGTGAGACACTAGGAAACATTTCTTTAATGAACAAAAAGCTTTCACAGAGACTGTCTATATCACATTGTTATTACAATATAGATGAGCTGAGACTTTTTTTTTTGTACAGATTTGGAGCAAAGAAAACCCTAAAGAGAAATCAAACATATAGAGGTAGTTGAACAGCAGTATGTGGAGTGGGAGGGGGGAAGCATTTTCTTAAATTCTCTTTCCACTCATTACAATGCAAGCAGTAAACTGGCTGCTTAACAAACACATGGAATAACAAACACACACACACATTATTTGCCAGTGTTTAAATGGCTTGCTTGATATTTTAATCCTGGCATGTCTGAGAACTCCATAAAATGATGGAACTAGTTTATCTACGATAAGCCTATGATGCCACATTGACCTATTTGCTCTCCTTTTATCTTGTTTAATGTTGTTGCTTTGACAATAGATAAATGTTTAAGCAACTTCTACAATGATGCATAAGCTACAGTGTTGCTTTGTAAACTTCTGTTAATCACATTTGCTGCCACAGATTTTTAAACAGAGTCAAGAAGCAAGGACTTTAAAATGACACCAGGAAGAGATTACAGGCACTTCTCTCTCAATGTTAATTTAAACACATTTGAAAATACTCACTTGTAAGTGAAAATGTCTTCATTTCATCTCTGGATGTGTATAACTCAGATTATTAAATAGCTGAACAGTGGTTCCTTTTCCTTCTTCCTCTCTATACTGAAGAAGGACCACATACTGCAGCCCATACAGCAGGCTGCTATTCAGAACTGTCTTTAATCATGAATCAAAACCTCATTCCTCAAGCCTAAGAATGGGTTGAACATCTGTCCTTTTCCTTTATTAGGGTTGCCTTTCATTTGCATCCACATTATACTCTTCTACTATGATTCTGCCTTGGTAAACAGAGATGGATGCAAAGTCAGCAAGTGTGAACTCAAGGAATGAGTCCTACGAATCAAACTCCCATCTTGGAAATGGAGTTGGCATGGGGGGACAGTCCCCAGTGGATTCTAGTCCATCAACAGAATGCAATCATTGGCAGTAAGAGACCTTTGGGAGCTGTTAACCAATCTCAGGAATTCCACTGCTCCAATGGCCAGTTGGAGGGGATTATCTGAGCCCAAGTAGCTCCACAGGCAGAGCTGGAAGTGCCACATGGGCAGTGACTTGACCAGCCCTGTTTTGCCTCAGCACTGGGTCAAAAGCTGTCAGTCTTCAGAAGAGACTGTTGAAACAGTCAGTTCTCTGCCCTCTGAAATCAGGGGCAAACACTCTCTTCTCCAAGTTATCTATAGAAAATTAGTTCTGTTGTTTTTCACTTTCTACATGTTGCTGGTTATTAGCTAGCAGCAGTAGTAGTTCAGTACAAAGCAGAAAGGCATATTGTCTGCTTGGTACCTATTATACACACACACATATATACATATATATACATATATACATATACATATACATATACATATACAAACACAAACACAAACACACACATACACACACCAGAAAAACAACCTACTAGAAAAAGACTAGGTCAGTCACAATAGACAAGAAAACTAACCAAATAAATGGCACTACCTACCTAGGGGGGATGTCTTGTCCTTCTGACCTAGATTTAGCTTTATGTTTTTTCTCAGAATACTCGTCATTCCTAAGTTTTGCAACAAAATCAACTTACAAGTGCAGAAAATGGTCATGTCCATTTGATTACCCCATTTAAGTGCATTCCAAAGAAAGCCAAGGCTTAGCCTCACCTCTTGCCTGTTAGCACTACTGCAATAAAAACTTGCTGTAAAATAATCTCAATGTGTATCAGGGCTGCTGAGAGTCAACTGCAATTCTGCCACACCAAGATCTACACTTGCTGGAGTGAGGTAATCACTAGTCAATCAAGATGATACATTCTACAATGTGGACTTGTATAAAACACTCAAACTTCCCTTTCCACCTAGATTGATGAGAGATGGGTTTTCAGAGGGCTGACGTGAGAAATAAATGATTAATGAGCTTGTGTATGTGAAACCACATACCTGGCTCAGTACTTGGGAAGTAGTGAATTCTTGGTACCTTTTAGTTGGGACAGTGTAAAGACAGGCCATGAATTAAGCTTAAATGTCATAGACTATAAAATATGTTCTCCTTGACATGACTGAGACTCAATTCATTGTAGAGAGCAGGGAGTGATGGATTGGTTACTTGAATAGGGCTACTAGAGCTACTAAGTGGAAATTCAAGATCTCCAAATTAACACTATTTTTTTTAGTCCCACTGAAATAGGAAAAATGTGCTGGCACAGAATGCTCGCTTACCTCTGACCCTCATTTGTTTCCTAGTCTTCATTTTCCTAGACTTGACCCAGTAAGGAATTGCCTGTAAATTATCAAGTTACAGTCAGAAAAATCAATGGTACGGATTCCTCCAGCCAAGTTTCAAGGGGTTGGGAATAGGCATTGTGTGTAAAGGCAGTGTTTTCTGCAAATGTAGGCTCCTGATGATATTCAGTAACTATAAATAATCTAATAATAGTGATTACTTGTGGATGTCTGCTATGTGCTAGGTACAGAGGTAAGAGCTATACACATACTATCTCATGTAACATTCATCAAAACCTAGAGGTGGTATTCATCACTACCATTCGCTAGATGAGGAAACTGGGGCTCAGCAAGAGTGACATCACTTCCCAAAAGCAAGTGGAGAAACTTACGACTGAAAACCATTCCCACTAAAGGGTTAGGTGTTAGCCTACATAAAAAACCTCATTCCTAACTGCACAGGGAAGAAATGAGATATACTTAGAGATGGCTGAAATAAATGCCCACACTAGATTGCAGTCAAAGATTACTCCTTTGACTCATCTCTTCCTCCCCCAAAAATAATTTCTTTAGTCCCTCTCTGGACAGCACACTGAAAATCAATTATTTTAGTTTATACTGGCACATACCACAATCTAGGCCAAATCCCTTCACTATTTGATATGGTTGTATTCAAAGTGAAAACAAGATGGAGTCTGTGGCATAGATGATCTTAGCATGATTCTGAACTTCTTTGGTAAACATCCAATTGGACAAACACAAAAAATGGTTCAAGAACTGGAATGAGATGTAAAAAAAAAAACCACAGTTAAAGCAGAAACTGCACATTTTGAGTACTGTTACTTCCCCCTAGGTACATGGTAAGCCACATCAATAAATAAAGCAACTGACTTTCCAGTTATTTACACTTAAATAGTTATAAACATCCATGTAGAAAAAAGGATACAGTAGCGCAAAAAATAAATTATTAAAACAGAAAGAAGTATGAACACTATTTTACACAATGCTGTATAAAACCTAAACCATTGGAATGAGACCTCAAGTCAGTGAAATAAAGCAGCAACATTATTAGTGTCTTTGCTTCACATTTCAACCACACAATCATTCATCTATGAGAGAAAGGAAATTAAAGCAAAACCACTTTAAACTTTCAGAAAATTTTATGTCAAAATCAAATGAATTTTTTTTTCTTCTGGGCTCTTAAACAACCTCTGCTGTGCATGTAGTTGTGCAGCATGTCAAGAAGCATCTTAAGACAGAAAGTTTCAAACAGGTCCCATTCTTTTGGTCTTTCTACTCAATTTCTCGCTGTGATTAATAGCAGGGCAATGCCTCTGTTTGATACTTCCTTCTGTTAAGATGTTATTGCAATTAGATATATTTACAAGACAACTCCCCCAAGGGCAGCGGGGAGGGTGTGATTTCCTCTTCAGCAATTCACTCTCGCTAGTTTTGGTTTCGGGTTATAAAGGCCAGGACTCGCCGAATACCATTCAATCTATCCTTTAAGGACCTCATCGCTAGGAACGGGAGCTGAGCACGGCTTTCCAATGGAAGAACCGCTAATGTCCACCAGCACCAGGCTGGACCATTCGGGTTCATCTGCAACAGAGAAACACAATGGGTTTATCCTATTCCCCTGGAAGTGACTCTATCTGCAGATGCCTAAGCTTCCCGGTGGAGCTGCTTCTGTGTGTGGCAGAGACTGTGAAGTACCCTTAAACTATGCCCCCCCCCCTATATCTTAACTGGGCCTATAGTCACCCAGAAAAAAAAAAAAAAGACTACACGTCTCAGTCTCCCTGGCAGCTTGGGGAGGTCATGAGACAAAGTTCTAGCTAATGAGACATAAAGGGAAGTGATCTGTGTAACTTTAGGGTCATGCTCTGGGAAGATAACTTGTGCCCTCCATCCTCCTTTTGTTCTTACCCCTAGCTAGAATGTGGACGTGGTGATGACCTTCTTTGATCAGAAGGATGCAGGAAACATTCTAAGGAAGGCAGAGCTTTGTGAAGAAGGAACCTGGATCCCTGAATGAGCTCATGGAACAGAGCTGCCCTAGCCCTCCAGGACTTACGCCCTCTATCTTGTGTAAACTACAGTTATGTGGGGAAGTGGTTAGAGCTAACCAACCAGCATCCCAATGAATACACTCTACCCTCCAGCCAGTGTGATTTCACCAGCTGGACTCAGTCCTTTGGCTCGAAGATTCTGCTTGGGTCCTAAAGATTGATGCAAACAACAGGTGTGCCTGGGATCCAACTGACTTCCCACATCCCCCTAATTCCTTCATTTCCCTGCTTCTGAATGAAGGCAAGGTAGTTCCTTCATCTAGTAGACATATGCCATGTCACTCAACAGGGCCACAGCTCACTTCTCTCCTAAAGCCAAACCCTGGCATTCACAGCCCCAAAGCACAGCACTTCCACGTGGCAACAATTCCCATTAGAAAACACGTTCACCTCAGTATCCTTTTAATAAAGACCTTTCCCATTCCACACAAATCCTTCACCAAAATTCTGCTTGGAGCAGCTTCCCAGGCATACATTTTATTTTTTTATTTATTTATTTATTTTTTTTAATAGTATTTTTTTTTATAGAGGCATGCTTTATTTATTTGTTTGCTGGTTTGTTTGTTTGTTTTGTTTATACATGCACTGGGTACAGTCAGAAGCACGGGAGGGTGAGAGAATTCACCAGAGCCAGAGCAGGGAGCAGAGCAGGCAGAAGGACCGAAGTACACTGCTGAGGGGAGCAGCGGGCAGCAGGAGAGGTCTGCACGCCATGTGGGACCCTCCTCCGGTGGCCGGGGAGCAGCCGGGGATCGAACCGGCGCCGCAGAGGCCGCGGGCAGCTTCGCAACCCAGCGCTCAACCGCTGCGCCACCGGGGAGGCCCACCAGGCATACATTTTAGATTGCGGTGACATTTCCCACGAAGCCCAAAATGAGTTTTTGCTCCTCACCCGCAGAAGCTTGGTTTTAGGATCCCCAAGAATTGCATTCTGGTCAAACCACCTACCTGTGGGATTAATTGCGTGCAAATAAATTCACCAGTTTCTCCACCTGACATCACCCCCTCTTTGCTCCTGTGCCTCCAGCTTCACTTGCATTCATTTTTGTCCCTCACTCTGGTCTGTCACCTGCCCTCCCCCTAGGATCAGCTCTGAATATTAGGCGGGCACATTCTGACCTTTCTTCCTCAGGGCCGATGACCACGATGTTCAAGCTGATGTTAATACCAGTGGTGGCTCTGAGAAACCTCCTGGGGCTCAGAACATTCTTATTAATGGAATCACAGGGGCAGCTGCATTGACTGGACCAAACTAGAGGAGGTATTTTTTGTTGTAAGTTAGTTATTTTTTGTTCTCACTGTTGCCACCAAAGCAACATAATGACAGTCCTAAGAAGAAAAGAAATGAGACTCAAGATTTCAGCTTTCTGTGTCACTGAGTACTTATGAATCACTCAGTGACATCTGTGCTTTCTTTTGTGGAAGATGCTGTTATTAAGCATTAAGTGTGCCTAGAAGCTCTGCTGTAGTCTTGAGTCACAGCGGCCCAGAAAGCAGGAGTAGTGGGTCACTGGGAAGCACTAACTGGCCTCTCTCCCTCCATCATTCGGGATGACTTTGCCTGGGGAAGAGGAACCATAGTTGTGGTCTGAAGAAAGCAAGACATTTCAGCTCATTAGGGAATGTAGGGTAAGGAAAAATGTCAGGCTTTTCTGCTCTCCCACCATCAGGATAGATGATGATCCTTGCGGTCCTGAATTCATGCCTGATGGCGGGCACCTGGAATAGGGTGTGGGCATAAGTAGATGGGATTCACCTGGGCTAAGACTGTGCTTTTAAGGGCGGCATCACGGGGACGCCAGTAGAAGCCAAAAGAGAAGCCAAGAGAGAAGCATGAGAAGCTGAAGCTGAGAGAAGGCCGGAGAGCCCAGAGTGAAGCCCTGCTAGGGGCTGCGAGGCTGGCAGGCCCCCAGCACCCCAGCGCCCCTGCCTGCCTTGTATCTGGTAATCTAAATAAAAAGACCTGCAAAAAGCCACTTAGGACTCTGACTCCTCCTTTAGCCGGTCTACTGGATTAGAAAACCTGCACCGTGTCCATTCCTGCCCTTACAATTGGCGTAGTCAGCAGGATGATCCATGCAGACGGGTATGGAGCCCCCTGAAGACCTGGAGGGACTAAGGAGTAACAGACTGTGTGAGCCTGTGACAACGCTGGAGGCGTCATGGCGGCACAGGAGCTGGACGAGGTCCAGGAGCTGCGGACGAGACCTCGCATGGAGGAGACGCCCAAGAGGACCAGCCAATGACCCCTGAGGCAGCAAGAATTGTCGGGAAGAGAGGACCACGATTTGGAGCTTGCTGGTGCTGATGGCAGGGAAAGGCCTAATGGACTTGGACTGATGGACTTGAACTGACAATCCTGCCAGGGGGCGGAGGACCTTGGCAGGTTATGTCTTTTGGGAATCTGGGGGTGGCCAGTGGGATGGCCGAAAGCAGCCTTTGTATGCCCGGCAGCTAGGCGAAGGAGAAAAAGCCAACTGAGAAGGCAAAAGCTGGTGCTGATGCTAAGTTGAGAAGCCCTGAGTGGCTGTTAAGGAGCCTGAGTATGCTGAAGGCCAGTGAGTCTCTTAAAATCACCTGTGGGTGATGCCCTGCTCGTTCTTAAGTGAGGGTGAGAAGCTGAGGAACCCGTCCTTGGGGGACGGGTGGGGAACATGGCTTGGGGTGGAGCCCAAGCCAAATGTAGAGTTTGGATCCCCGACCCATGTGCTTGTGCAGTGGGTTGGCCTGAGTGCAGGGGTCTGCGAGTCGCATTGGTGGCTTTGAAGGCAGAATGTTGGAGCGACTGCAGACAGAAACCCTGAGGGTTGGCGATTACCCCCAACAGAATAGAATCGCCAATCCCAGAGTGAGTGCATCCTGGGGGTGGATGCCGTGTGTGGCTTGTAGCCGAGACTACAGCCAGAGAAGGCCAGGAAGCCTGACGGCTCCTGGTGTGTTACAGTAGATGCCATGAGTGATTCCCCTCCCTCGTATGAGCAGTGCCTTCGGCAGCAGATTTGGTGGCTCTTTTGCTGGTACCAATAATTGTCTTTTGCACTAGGTTGGGAACCTGCCTGGACTTATCTGTGTTCTGTTGTATTTTGTTATATTGTGATGTATTTGCTTTTGTGGGCCATGGCTGCATTGTTTATGTTTGCTAAGAAAATTGTATATATGAAGACCATATGGCAGAAAACCCTGAGGGGGTGGACTGTAGGGTAAGGAAAAATGTCAGGCTTTTCTGCCCTCCCGCCATCAGGATAGATGATGGATCCTTGAGGTCCTGAATGCATGCCTGATGGCGGGCACCTGGAATAGGGTGTGGGCATAAGTAGATGGGATTCACCTGGGCTAAGACTGTGCTTTTAAGGGCGGCGTCACCGGGACGCCAGTAGAAGCCAAGAGAGAAGCAAGAGAAGCTGAAGCTGAGAGAAGGCCGGAGAGCCCAGAGTGAAGACCTGCTGGGGGCTGGGAGGCTGGCAGGCCCCCAGCCCCCCAGCGCCCCTGCCTGCCTTGTACCTGGTAATCTAAATAAAAAGACCTGCAAAAAGCCACTAAGGACTCTGACTTCTCCTTCACCCGGTCTGCTGGATTAGAAAACCTGCACCGTGCCCATTCCTGCCCTTACAGAGAATATACTGGTGTTTCACAGCCTCAGAGGGCAAGAGGAAGAGGGGACTTTGGAGGCCTCCTCACCCACCTGCCTTATTTCAGAAATGGGAGAAAAGCTGAAAGGGGGGAAGGGGCTGACCCAAAGTCACACAGAGAGAGAGGCCAGCAGAACCAGCTTTTGGCAGGGAAGGCAAATATACATATTCGTTTCTATTGTGACAGTTGGGAAGGATTGTCAGCACAGAATCAAGGTAAGTGTGGAGGTGATGGTGTGGGCGGGCCAGCTCAGAATGTGAGAAAAGGCAGCAGTGGGGAACAAGTACCAGCCCTGTGCTAGAAAAAGAGGATTTGCTGATTTACAACAGACGTAACTATCTCCACTTTGCTGGGTTGCTAATGAGCTGCAGCTTGAGCTCGCACCCCAGGAAATAGACCCCACCCTGGGAAATAGACCCACCCGCTAGAACCTAATCAATTGCTTTTCACAGTCAGGGGTATATTTAAAGGCTCAGTCTGTTTTCTCAGGACCTTTCATCCCTGATGAGGACAACTACAGGGTCTAGAACTGCAAGGGTTAAGGGTGGAGGAGCCGGGTGGGGTGTGAAGTTTCTGTAGTCTTGGCAATTGGGCTGTCATAAAGTAGCCGATCCTGTCCCTAGCTCCTGCAGCAATGGGGGAGAAGTTTATAAAGCTCCCTGGCCATGGTAACCTTTAGCCTCACTCCCAAAACACCTTTCTCTCAGCCTGGCCTCTGCGTACATCTTGTCACCCTAACAGCTCACCGGGACCTGAGTCTGGTCTCCTGCTGAAGCTTCTTCTGTTGTTGGGGCCCGTGTTCCCGTTCTCTCCATCTGACTTCTCTCTCAAGACCTCAGATCCATGCTCCTGCTTTTAGTCTGATTCTGACTTGGGGTCCTTTAGTTCTTAACCATGGGCTCCACTACCCAGCCAAACAACAGCAAATTGGATCCATCTTCCTCTCCATGCTTGCTTTGCTGGAGGCCATCATGCACTCATTGACTCACAAACCCTAGGCCCTCATCTGGCGGGGAAACTGCTTCCCAAGAGACAATTGTATATACCTGGGGATCCGCATCTTTCTCCGGCATTGGACCAAAGTGATTGAGTATCCGATTCTTCAGAGATGACTTCAGCGAATGAAACCACGATGACGCTTGCTCATAGACACAGTTATGTAATCCCATGAGCTCAGCGCGATCCTCTCCTTGGACCTGAAAGCATCAGAGTGGGAGTGAAGCATTCTGTAGCTTCTCCATCACTCCAAGAGCTGCTTTTCACACCTGATTCTCTTTGAGCATCCACCCCACCTCCCTATGGGAAGGCTCACCCAGCCGGCTCTCTCCCGAGTGCTATGTGAAAGGCTCCTCAGCCAGATGATGGCCTGTGTGTAAACAATGCTGAGGGTGGAGGAAGGGTCAGCTGGGCAAATGAGCTGAAGCAGCAAGCCAGATAGAAAAGCAGAGATTCAGAGTGGCCTTCGTGAGGGCGTGCTGTTAAACTAGGTTAGGCCCTCTCCTTTCCTGTTTTTCACATTTGCTTTTCCACTGCTCACCCAGATGGGAGACAGGAAATGTCTGTGTCTCCAAGAGTAACTCTATCTTCCAAGTCAAATACATGTATTTGTTGATCAAATATTTATTAATCTTGTTCTATGTAGTGATCAGAAAATACAAAAAGCATGGGATTATTTACCTCCTCTTCTAGCCCAGAAAACCAGGGATTAACTGGACATGGCATCTTTCTGCCTCATGGGACAATGGATTATTGGGAAGGGCTCTCTGCCAGGTGGCACATTGAAAAATACAATGTGCATTTGAATCTACAATTGTCTCAAAAGAAAAAGGTTTAAATAGGAAAAAGTTGATAAATAAAATATACATATGAACACCCTGCTCCAGATCTATTCTTTGGAATCCCTTGCAGAGACCTATCTCCGAGGTCTCTCCGAGGCTAAGGGGTCCCCAGGATGGTCTGGCTGAGCGTTTCTTACACATGAATACAACCTAGCAAGCAAGCCAGCACAGGCAGGCAGCGGGCACCGTACTGCCATTCTACCATGGAATCCAGCACTGTTCCATGTTGCTGCAGCAATTTGGTGAGAAATTCCAGAGCCCCCAACAGTGCTAAGAAACGCTTTTGCAGCCATGTTTGTGTGGCACTGGGCACCCTCACCTTTTGGTCCTCAATGTATTCAATGTCGGCTGTATTGTAACCATCCCGCTGGCTCTGGTGGAGCACCTTGAAGCGCCTCTTGCCTATGCTGTCAACCACTGAGCGGCCATCAGCAAAGAACTGAACATTTCTGATCTCTAGGATGCAGCCATATTCTGCAAACCTGTTTATCGAGAAAGTAAATTCTTGATGAATTGTTGCCTGAGCCTGGACCCTAGCCACTTCTGTTACCCATGCTGTGCCTTGAGGGACATCTGCCTATTTGCCTGTTCCAGGACTTACAGTGGTGACTACCTAGCAGGTGGCACCCGTGTGGAGACTACTTAATACGCTAGGATAACTGCTACCACTGAGTGAGCACGGACTGTGTGCTAGACTATGCTCGGTGCTTTATGGACACTCACCAATTCGCCCGAAAACCCAGAGGTAGGTGCCACTGTTACACCCACTTTATAGACAAGGAAACTGAGTCACAGAAAGGTGAAATAATTTGCCCAACTCTGGGGCCAGAACCTGAAACCAGGCAGTTTAACTGTAGGGCCTGGATTCCTATAAAACACATTTTATAGGGCCTCCCTGGTGGCGCAGGTGGTTGAGCGCTGGGTTGCAGAGCTGCCCGCAGCCTCTGCAGGGCCCGTTCGATCCCCAGCCACCGGCCACATGGCGCGCAGACCTCTCCTGCCACCCACTGCTTCCCTCAGCAGTGTATTTTGTCAGTCTGCCTGTTCTGCTCCCCGTTCTGTCTCTGGTGAATCCTCTCACCCCCGACGCCTCTGGCCTATACCCCAGTTCTTGTATAAATAAATAAAAATCTTAAAACACATTTTATAGCACACACCACCCATTTAACAAAAGATGAACCCTGCGGTTCCTTTAGATAGGCAGCCTCTCACATGGTAAGGGAGGGCCGGAGGAACCCTGATCTTTACAAATTCTGTGGTTACAGTGGTTACAAGCCAGCTAAACCTTGGGAGCTGTGCCTCCCCATCTCCTGGGGGCTCTCCAGAGCGAAACAAACCCGCTTCTCAACCCAACCCCCCTTTCCTCACGTAGCTCCTCACTCACCCTTTGACGGGATCTCCAAGGCACATGCCAAACTGTCTTGTGCCTGTCTCAATGCACCTACGAATCATCAGACGGTAACAAGGCTCAAAGATGTGCAGCGGGCAAGGAACGGTGGGGTAGGCCATGGTACACACGAAAATGGGCACGTTCTTATTTAAGCTGTCGGGAAGAGCAAGCGGCATGCATATCAAGTCAGGCAGAGCACGGGAAGGTGAGCCCCACCTCGCCAGGGAGTTCCCCCGCAGGAAGGCAAGGAGACATCAAGTTTTGACGGTCGATAAAAAAACACTGAAATGCCACTGATGCTATGGGCTGGTCCTGTGAGCTGGTGCGGAGATTACTCTAAGGGCTAAGAGGTCAAAGTGGACGTGGCACATATTCCAATGCGGCTAAAGTAGCCCTCCAGCGCCTGCACACTGGTGAAAGCTAGAACACAGGTTTGGGGAGATGGGAGGGCAGCCATCTGAGAGACAGAATTTAGGGCACTGCCTCTAAGTGAGCTGTGATTCTAGCCAGGCAGAGAGCTGGGAGCCTCACTTCCATCTCCACGGCACCCCTACCCCTCTCACAACCCCTGTGCCTGGCAAGGGAAGCAGAGCAGGCAGCGGCCTTACTGTTTCCAGGGTTAGGTGTTTACAATGAACTGGCTCATTTGATCTTCATAACAAGACCATTAGGTAAGAACTATTATGAACCCCAAGCTACATATGAGGAAACTAAGGCCCGCAGAGGTTCAGTGACTTGCCTAGGGTCATGAAGTAGACTCATTTAGTGGGAGAAGTGGGACTTAGGCTGATACTAAAATTCTTAACCTTATAGTACCTCCTTCTGTATTTGAAAACAGTCTTCTGGACACTGTGCATTCTCCTAATTAAGCCACTCTGTTTACTCCTGCCAAGACGTAACCTGGTCAGTGGTTTGGCTCATGCATCTTCAGAGGTGGGCTGGAGACCGTCAAACAACTGACTCTGGAGGTAAAAGCCCTGTTGTATCTGTACATTTCCAGGGTCAATATGAAGCTAGCAGCACCAGCACCGGACAGGGAGTTAGGAAAATATGTTCCCATGGAGCTCTACGAGCTGACATGAGTGAAAGTGAAAAGAGAGCCAGTCATACACATACTTGGACAGCTCTTCCAGTTCTTCTTCATAAAGCCTCCTTCGTTCCTTCAGTTCTTCTGGGAGGAATTTAGCTATTAGCTCTTCCATGATTACATTTTTGCTGTATTTTCTTGATGCCAAGCACTATATGGGGAAGAAGGCAATTCGAGAGTACATAGTAGAGGAACATGAAGCATTTCTGGTGCAATTGGCAGAAGAGACAAATAATCCACATATTGGAGTAATCCAGACCCATACAGTGGCAGCTGATACTACATTCGTGCATGTAGTCTCCATGTGTTAGTTTAAGTTTTTAAAAGACACATGTGATTGCTTTTATAATTAGAAAAAAAAATAACAAGAGAGAAAGACTGCATGGAAATTTAAAAAACTTTATCACTTTCCTAAAGCACTGAAATTAAGATCATGTTCTTGTTTAAAAGGCGGAGGGATCCTTTCATTTCCTTTTTCTGATCACGGTCTTTATAAGCTCACAGAATGGTCGCCCTTTGGAACAGGCTACAAGTCATGGGTTAGAGGTTCAAGAAACTACAGAGCAATTTTCAATCACTGATCCTTTCCTGTTCTGCCCACCTCTCCTTCCCAAATGCTTGGTTTCTGGATATTGAAAATCTAAATATGTTTTTCATCTCTTGTTTTGGTTAAAAAAAAAAAAAGAGCCAAATACTAATGGTTTTGCTATTTGCTTCTTTAATATGCCATCTAGGCAACACTGAGATGCTATAACCCATGATTTCAGCAACGAATGCTCGGCCGTCACTATTACTCTCCTCCCAAACACCCCTACCCCATGTGTCCTCAGTGAGCTGTAAGCAGGGGGTAGTTAACCATGTGAACCAGACAATAAGAGTTAAAACATCTGCAGAGCACTGCTCGCTATGGAAACTACCGCTACAGACCCAGCAGGGGGTGCTCCTGAGTCTAAAACTGCGGGTTTGAGATAATTTTTCCTTTGCCAGTATGGGCTGTGCCTGTCTATTCTGCAGTGAACATGACTGGAATACGAGATTTCTTTCTCTGGAGAATGGTGTGTGAGTCTGTGTGTGTCTATAGAGATCGATGACAATATCTTTTAGCCCCTGAGTCCGGGATCCCACATCATCTGCGTCCAGGAAGCATCATCAGTCACAGTCACCCCTGGCTACAGGAGAATCAAATGCTTTGCCTAGTGCAGCTTTTCCGGGAAAAAGCAGTGACTCAGGAGGTAGCCAGTCCAAGAAGGAGGTGACTCCTCTGCTGATGCTAAAACAGAAAACCGGGAAAAGCACACACTAACATGTTAACAGTGATTTTCTGCAGGTGCTGAGCACGTATGCAGATACGTTTCTTCTTCCTGCCTATCTGAATGTTGCAGTGAAATCACAGCACACATGTACTATTTAAGTATAAGGCCCATGGGCTTCTCACCTACAATCAGGCCAGCAAATCGTATCCCTTGACCTAGGCAAGAGAGGACACAAACCTTCCTCCCAATCCAATACATGCCCTCAGGGTTACCCTCGATGCTTAGTTCACTCCATTTTCTTAAATGATGGAAAAGCTCAACCTGTGACTTCTCTGGATCTACATTCACCTAGAGATAGCCCAGTCTCCAACCTCTCCTCAGGGATGGTGGGGGTCAGGAACATTAAGACTGATGGTAAATGTGGCACACACGTCCCTGAGTGGGGGGAATAACATGGCTTTCGGAGGCTTCTTGGGTTATAAGAAAGTCATCAGGACCCCTTGAAAAACAAAGGTGGCAGTTTGTGTGATTCATTTCAGAGAACCTGGAAGCCCTAGAGCTTTGCAAATAGCCAATTATCTGTTGACATGTACAGTGGCTCCTGCCGGGTGGGCCAAGGACCACACTGAAGGTCTGTGAGGTTTTCCTGGGGACCTAGGAGTGGTTTCCTCAAACCACAGAATAAACATTGATGATCAGGGGCCATCAGGGTCCTCTAGTCCAAGTACAGAGAAGACAAAAGGTTCACCCAAGATTACAGGGAATCGGGTGTCACGATGGGGTTGGACGCACGATCCATGTTTAACATCAATTTAATACTTTTGTTTCCCACACAAGTTAATTTCACTAGCAACAGTTCATAAAAAGCTAGTCACCTCATTTTCCCGAAGGATTTTGTGGAGAAGGGAGGGGTAGCTATGCGACAGAAGCACACAGATGGTCTGAGGGGGTATTTTGCCCCAGCATACTGCAGTGGCTTGGCATCCAATCGGACACTGTTTTAGTACCCACCTCCAGATAAGCAAATCCAACCAAGAAGGAAATACTGTTTTACCTGTGAAAGGCCATCTTTGCACAGTGGACACTTGGCATTGTGATCCAGGCATCTTTCAAGGCATTTTAAGCAAAATGTGTGCCCACAAGGTGTTGTGACTGGCTCATAGAATAATCTGAAATGTAGGAATCAAAATGGAAGAAAACTGCAATAAGACCAAAAAATAAAAGAAAGAGCTACTCAATGTTAAGATTTTATAGTGTTATTTGGAAAAATCTGTGTGTGGGAGGGGAGGTTCTTTTTACACACACACACACACACACACACACACACACACACACACACACACAAAACCCTGACCATAAAGCATCTGCCTTTTACTTTCTGAGCTGGATTTAAAATAATGCATTCATTAAAGTTGAGGACACAGTTAGATCATTTTGTAATCATCAGTTCTAGTCAGCCTCTTCTAGAGCATTCAGAATCCCCCCACCCTGTCACATTCCAGAAAAATGGAGATGAATTCCCAGAGTGTCTGAACAGATTACATCCTGACATATTTAGCCAACCTGTTCACCTGGGTATATGTAAACACACAGCTAGAGAAACAAGCACACAGAAACATATATATATATATATATATATATATATATATATATATATATATATATATATATGTATACACACACACACAGTCACACTTAACCATTTAAGTATTTTACGTCACATTACAATGGAAAAAGACAGCCTATTCGCTAACCTTAATTCCATTTTTCACCTAAGCAATGTTTACTGCCTGAAGGATTTTGGGATTACATCTGTGATAAATATATTTCTGCCTTTTACATGGATGCATCATTTTTCTAGGCAGTAGAGAGTAATATTATAATATGGTTACAGGCAGACAGATGCACATACATATACATATATACATATATATGTATGCACACATGTACTTCAATGAGATCCTGTATTGATTGCTTTGCAGGAGCTAGATATTTTCAAAGCAATCTGGGAATCTTTTTAAAAGATATTATTCTGTACATTCAGAGATTCAAGGATTTTTTTTGCTTAAAAGAAAGGCTCACCTGCAGCAGGATCATTGGGTGGGGACAGCTGAAGATGAGGTTCAGAAACCGGGCTTGCATTCACCCAGAAGACGGAAAGAAGAGAAGGAGGCTGACCAGCCTATTTTGATCTCACAAGAGTGTTCAGTTGAGAGGAAGGAGCTGCCTGCTGCACAGCACCCTCGTGTGGCCAGGAGGTGCACCAGCAGCCTGGCCCACAAGCAGCGCTGAGCACAATCAACATGTCAGAGCTGAAAAGTACTTGAGAACAATATGAACCCACCTCCCAGAATGCAAGTGAGGTCCAGAGGGCATGAAGGCACTTGTCTACATGCACACAGCCAACTACTGGCAGATGAAAATCTATCCAACTTGCACTTCCATGAGGTGCCTCAACCATTGCTCTGTGTGAGAACCCCTTGGGAGCATTTGCTTTCAACAGCTTTATTGGGGTACACTGATAGACAATAAACTGCACATACTTCAAATGTACAATTTGATATGACTGACATATGTACACACACACCTATAAAGCCATCTCCACAGCCAAGAGAATGAACACGCCCACAACCCCCAACCCTGTCCTCATGCCCCGTGTATGTCCTCCCCTCTGCTCCTCCCTGTACCACCATCACCTGAGGAGTTTTTTAAAACTACTGGGGCCTGGGACTGCATGTGCAGATGCAGGTCAGTTGGTCTAAGCTAAGGACTAGGTATCGGGAGTTTTGAAAGTTCCTCAGGTGGTTTTATTCTTATTATTTATATAAAAAAAATCAGGTTTATTGGAAGAAAGGAAAGTAGAAGACACTTTCACAGACACAAGCAGGCATAAAGAGCTCCTCACAGGGTTTCAATGTGTCCCCAGGGGTGAGAATCACTGCATGACACAGCCCGACTGATCTCTGCACAGGCAGTGTTGGTCTCTAAACTGAATTACAGAGTCGCCAGTGGAGCCTTAAAAGCACACACATGGCAAAGCCCACCCCTCTCCCCCAATCAAGTGTTCAATTCAGCAGGTCAAGGGCAGGGGTGGAGATTTGCTACTTTTAACAAGACAGCAAAGATCTGGAGTAGGAGAGAGGTTTTATATAGATGTACTTCTTTCTACTTTTTGACTTTTATAATGCTGTTTTAAACTAATTTGTTTAATACCATTAAAACATTTTAGCTTTTATATTGGCCAAAAATCAAAATACATTTAAAAATATCCTTTATTACAGAGATCCTCAGCAGTGTACTAAGGCAAGGAAAAGAATATAAAGTGTGAGGATTAGAAATGAAAAAAAAATCACCATTATTCACAAACGGCACAATGGTAAACTTAGAACATCTAAAAGAATCTACAGAATTATTATTAGAGTTTATGAGAATTGATAGAATTAGCAGGGATGCTGGACAAATACACACACACACAATTGTAATTCTATATACCAGCAACAAACATTAGAAAATACATGGTAACAAAGATGACATTTCCCACTGTTTTTGCAAATCAAATACCCAGGAATAAATCTAACAAAAGTTGTGCAAGACCTCGATTGTAAAAACTATAAAACTATAAACACCTCATCGAAAGAAAGTAAAGAAGACTTAAATAAGTACCATTAAAAAAAAAAAACTTGGCAAGTTTAAGTCTAAACTTTGTAAGGCAAGGCAAAGGGCCAAGAAGAGCCACAGTAAGACCTGCTCCACCAGATGTCAGAACTCATTTTGAAGCTGTAGTGACTAAAAGAGTGGAGGACTAGCACGAGGATGGACAGACCTGGGGAACAGAATGGAAAGTCCAGAAATAGACCCAGACACAGATGCTTGGTCCAGGACAGATACAGCACTTCAAAGCAGAGGTTGGGGGGGGGGTGTTTCAAAACACAAATAGCACCTCAGCCCCTGCTATCTGGGATACTCGGCTATGCATCGGGGGAAAGGAAGACCATTTCTTGCACCATATAAAGAAAGCAATTCCATGTGAGCTTTAAAAATAAACATGAAAGACCAACAGTAAAGGTTTCAGAATGTAAAACAGGAGAATATGATTATGACTTCAAGGTAAAAAAAATTCTCTTAAGTAAGGTACACCAAAAAACCACTAAGTGAGTAATAAGATCAATAATTTTCATAGCATTAAAATGAAGAGCTTGGGGATCGCCCCAGTGGTGCAGCGGTTGAGCGCTGGGCTGCGAAGCTGCCCGCAGCCTCTGCAGCACCGGTTCGATCCCCAGCCGCTGGCGAGGGTCCCACATGGCATGCAGACCTCTCCTGCTGCCCTCGCTGCTCCCCTCAGCAGTGTACTTCGTCAGTCTGCCTGTTCTGCTTCCCGGCTCTGGCTCTGGTGAATTCTCTCACCCTCCCGCGCTTCTGACCCAGTGCTTGTATAAATAAATAAATAAATAAATAAATAAATAAATAAATAAATAAATAAATCTTTTTTTAAAAAAATGAAGAACTGGCTGCTCTGTGCAACATGATGAAAGATGTCTGTGCTCCAGAGAACTGCATCTAATACTTGTTTGGGGACCTTTGGGATCTAGAATCCAACCTCAAGAATTGGAAGTAAAAGTAACAGCAATGCAGCTGTGTAATAAAGGATTATTCTCTTTCTTCCCCTGGGATTGGAAGGTTATACTTGCTAAAACCCTCCATTTTCAAGAAGGGTTAAACTATCAGGTGTTTTGTGGATTACCACACCCCACTTTACTCTGTTTCACCACAAACCCTGGCGTGTTCATTAATATTTTCAGAAAGTTTGTTTTGTGTTTTGCTGCAAGTTGGTTTATAGTTGAAAAGTATAAATAAAGGAAATATCCATTTTGCAATAAAAAGGATTTAGGACTTGTAACTACATCAAAAGATGCCACTGAGAGAGCAAGAAGTCATGCCACAGGGTGGGAAAAGGTATCTGCAGCATGTATGACTGACAAAAGATTGGTTTCTAGAACATATATAGAATTCCTACAAGTCAGTGAGGAAAAGAGAGATAACTCAATAGAAAATGGGCTAAAACCGGGCCTCCCCTGGTGGCGCAGGTGGTTGAGTGTAGCACTGTGAAGCTGTTCGCAGCCTCTGCAGTGCCGGTTCGATACCGGCTGGCTGGCGAGGGTCCCACATGGTGGGGCGGACCTCTCCTGTCTCGCCCGCTGCTCCCTTCAACAGTGTATTTTGTATTTCATCAGTCTGCCTGTTCTGTTCCCCGCTCTGTCTCTGGTGAGTCCTCTCACCCTCCCGCACATCTGGCCTGTACCCCGGGTTCTTATATAAATAAATGAATAAATCGGAAAGGAAGGGAGGGAGGGGAGGGGAGGGAGGGAGGGAGGGAGGGAGGGAGGGAGGGAGGAAGGAAGGAAGGAAGGAAGGAAGGAAGGAAGGAAGAAGAAGTCTTCATAGCAGGGTTCTGCATCATAGCCCCAAACTGGAAACAGCCCCCAAGTACCCACCTGTAATAGAATTCACAGTCGGAGGCAGAGTTATAGAATGGGACCTCACCTTCATGCAGTAACATGGACAACTCAATACTGACAAGGAGAAGCCAGAGCAAAAGAATACTTGCTGGGTAATTCAATGGGTAGAAGTTTTGAAAAATAAGCAAAACTCCATTTTCATAGCCAAATTATGGAAACAACCTCAGCACCCAAATACACACAAATGTACCAGGAAGCTGTGGCGTGACACGTAATGGGATACTATTCAGTATTAAAACAAAGACTTGCCCTTTGTGGCAAAATGGATGGAGGGGATTCAGCTGAGTGCAGCAAGCCAGAAGGAGAAAGGCAAATACTGGATGGTGCTACTCATGTGGAGTAGAGAGACAGCAAACAAGGGTGGAGATAAAGTCAAACTAACAACAAATCCTAGAAAGCTGATTATAGAACTGGAACTACCAGAGGAGGCATGAGAACAAAGTGGCAAAGGAGCACAAGGGGCTGTGGGGCTGGACTGCGGGTGTTTTGGTGAGGGGTGTGGTACAGTAACAGTGCTTAGGAGGGGTGAAGACCCATTACCTCTAAAACACAAAAATGATGTAAACCAATGTTAATAAAGAGTTAAATAAATACAACTTTTTAAAATTTAGAAAAACGAAATCATAACATTTAGAGAAGCACACAGGCTACTAAAATTATTTTTTAAAACAGTCATGTAATGGCCTCCCTGGTGGCACAAGGGGTTAAGCACCGCACTATAAAGCAATCCACAGCCTCTGCAGCACAAGTTCGATCCCTGGCCAGGGAGGTGACCCACATGGCACAGCAGACCTCTCCTGACTCGCCCGCTGCTCCCTCAGCAGTGTATTTCAGTCGTCTGCCTGTTCTGCTTCCTACTCTGTCTCTGGTGAATCCTCTCACCCTCCCCCCCCCCATCTCTGACCTATACCCCAGCTCTTATATGCATAAATAAATAAATCTTAAAAATTTTTTTAAAAAATCATGTAATGTCGTAAGGCACAACCTGGTGTCGAGTGCGAACCCTGCTCTATGGCTATACAGGAAAGTTGTGAAGGAAATAAATCCTCAGCATTCTCACCACAAGGACAAAATGTTTTTCTGTATGCTGATCTTTTCTGTTGTCATCATTGCACAATACATGTAAATCAAACCATTAAAAAAGAGAGAAAGAAGGAAAAAAAGGAGAGGAGGAGGGAGGAGGGGAGGGAAGTAAAGAGGGAGGGAGGGAAGTTAAGAGGGAGAGGGGGAGGGAAGAGGGGGGAGGAAAGGAGGGGGAGGGAGGGGGAGGAAGGGAGGGAGGAATATAAAAGGAACAAGTCAATTTTTAAAAACAAAGACTAGATCAAACTCAAGATAATGATTTGGTGGGGGCAGATGGAGATTTGTAAGCGGTCTATGGGGGCTTCTGGGGCTTGGGCAATGTTTTATTTCTTGAACTGAGAGGGACTGTTGCCTGTGTATCATCCTTATAATATTTTAAGAGAACACATTTATATATATTTTTTAAAGATTTATTTATTTATTTATTTATACAAGAACCAGGGTACAGGCCAGATGTGCGGGAGGGTGAGAGGACTCACCAGAGACAGAGTGGGGAGCAGAACAGGCAGACTGACGAAATACACTGCTGAGGGGAGCAGCGGGCTCAACAGGAGAGGTCTGCCGCGCCATGTGGGACCCTCGCCGGCTGGCAAGGATGGAACCAGCGCTGCAGAGGCTGTGGACAGCTTCACAGCGCTGCGCTCAATCACCTGCGCCACCAGGGGAGGCCCGAACACATTTATATTTTATGTACTTGCCCACTCATGTATTTTTCACAATTTAAAATGTTTTTCAAAAGTGTGATCTGCAGGCTGATTTGGGAACTACTGCTGTGATCGAACTGTGAGAGCAGCAAACCAGAATAGCTCAAGTCCTCAGTAATTTCAGTCCGATGAATCGAAATGCTTTTTATACACAATTTGGTGACGCTAATGATGATGATGGACGAATCTGTATCTGCAAAACAATTTTTCCTGAGAATTTAAAAATTGGGCTTATTGTTCGTTTAAGAATGGAATCCACGTAAAATAGCACTGATAGAGCTGGCTAATTGCAAGAAATACTGACATTTAATGAGCAGATCAATGAAACAAGACACAAAAGAACACAGCAACTCTTAGCAAAAGCTAAGATTAAAATGCCCCTGGTCTGAATAGTCACGACCATGAATGCTGCCTAGGATGCTGCTATAATGAGTGCTTTGAAATAACTCAAGGTTTCACTGCTTTGACTAGATCACCTTTCGATTCTCTTCTGTATTCAGGGCTACTCTGCTGTGCCATGAGGGCTGACTGAGTAAAGTGGGAACAGGTAGCACATCGTTCTCTTGGGTGTACACAATACTGTTTTTTTTTTGACATAAATTAACTTTATTAACAGGTTGCAGTTATGATTAGCTCCATTTAACTACCGAGAAAATGAAGATGCAGATAGGTTAAGATGCCCAAGGTCACGCAAGCCTGGGATGTGACGTCACCTCTGATCTCCAAGCCCATTTTCCTTCTCTCCTGTATGACACAGTCAAGACTCTATCTACATCGAGAACAGACCTCATCCGTCTATGTATATATTCTCTCTCTCTCTCGCTCTCTCCCCCCCACACACACCCTTCACTCCCTCCCTGTCTTTCTCCATCCTCTCCTATGAGAAAGTAGAGAACTCAGACAGACAGACAGACAGATAGACCGACAGACAGGTAGATACACAGATACATAGACAGAACAAGCTAGAAATAGATACATACTTGAACTCTCTTCCCTTTTATTTTACCACTTTAGGTAATGATTTCAGAAAACACTTCAGGGAGGCATTTATAAATCAGAGCAGGACCAGATTTCCTCACAAGAAACTGTTTTACATTGTCACAGGGATGGACTAAACAATAGTAATAATAAATGCTTTCAGTTAGATGTCAGCCGGGATAAAACGTTTCGCTTATCTGGAAGTAGCTATCTTTTCCCACCAGTTACATCCTTGCATTGTGTTCTTTCGCTGCTATCCACTGCGAGCAAAGAGGGAAGGAGAAGGAGAAAGGGAGGTGGAAGGGAGGCAGGGAAAGAGAGAGGTGGACAGAACGAGCTGACTCCCTAACACCCAGCTAACCTGAATACTTAAAACTCAGATAAATATAAAGCTTTTCCTTTTTTTTTTCTTTATAGAGGCATGTTTTATTTATTTATTTTTTTAAATTTATTTATTTGTCTGTTTGTTTTTATACAAGCACTGGGTACAGACAGAAGCGCGGGAGGGTGAGAGAATTCACCATAGCCAGAGCGGGGAGCAGAGCAGGCAGAAGGACTGAAGTACACTGCTGAGGGGAGCAGCGGGCGGCAGGAGAGGTCTGTGCGCCATGTGGGACCCTCCTCTGGTGGCCGGGGAGCAGCCGGGTATCGAACCGGTGCCGCAGAGGCTGCGGGCAGCTTCGCAACCCAGTGCTCAACCGCTGCGCCACCGGGGAGGCCCCAAGCTTTTCCTTTCAATTGGCAAAGAGGTCAGCGGACCGTGAGGTAACTGGTTCAAATTATCAAACTTTCTTGCTCCACATCTCAAGATATCCCTGTCACCCCAAAAGTACTCCTCTTCAGCAGAGGTGGTCCCATGGCTAGAGAATGTGCAGCAGCAGGAGTTTCTGTCACTGAAGACAGAGGGGAGAGCTCTGAGCTGCAGGGAGGCGTCCGGGTGCAGCGGGGGCACTCGGGGATGGCCAAGTCCCTCACGCATACGCTGCAGTTACTGTCCCACTTGTTACTTCCACCTTTTCCCCTGAAGAATTTATAAGCAGCTTCTGCCTTTCTCTCTAGCCTCAGAATCCATCAGTTCACACTAACTTGCATGCTACGGGACTAGATTTTCTAGAAACTTGCATGGGAGGTACAAGTGTCCAGTTTCATGCCTGGCATTGTTTGAATGTCTTTCACCCTAACCCTCTTCCATGAAGACACACGGAGGTCGTAATAAAACTTCCTAATAATCCTAATAATAAGAAAGAGCAGAAAAGTACTAGAGGGGTCCAAACAGGAACTTTTTTCAAGACAGCAAGAAATCCAGGTAAAGCAGGCCTAAGAAATAGTCTCTGTCCTAGACACAAGCCCTGCCCAGGCTCTTAAAGCTGAAACCCTTGCTCAGAGGCATGCGGGCTCCCCTTGCAACAGTCTTCTTCTCACCCTGCAGCGGCCATGGGTGCCGCAGTGCTGACGGGCCCGCAGCCAGGCGGAGACCGGGTTTTGTTTTGAGGCATGACTTAGAACAGGAGGACGGGAGAGGAGGAGGATGGCTTTCATACAGGCGTCAGCCTCGAAAGGGGTCTTAACCTCTTGATGTTTATTTCCCGGACCAGATTTCTCACCTTTCTCTGAAACCCTCCGTTGAGATCACGGACAAGCAAAACGGAAGGAGAAAGGAGAGGAAAGGGAGCAAAAGAGCCTTGACCTGGGGATTCTCGGCCCTTCGGGAAAGCGGGACATCATGAGTGTGTGTGTGATTCCGCGTCCCCTGCACGCGGGCAGGAGTGCTGACGAGGATGAGCGCGCCAAAAACCCGTGCTTTCCGAGCCCACGGAATCAAGTCTGTCGAAGCGTGGTGTCTGGAAGGCCAGAGCTCACACTGCGGCCTCAGAGCCACCAGGGTGTTACCTGAAGAGCCCATTTCTCTGAGTGGAAGCAGAGAACCCTCATCTCCCACTTTGGGTCTGACGTGACCCAGCCGCCATTTTGTTTTGGGGGAAAGAAGAGGATGGTGATGGAGAACCGGCTGGAGAGCCAGCCCACCCTAGCCCGCTCCGCCAAAGCAGAACATGGAGGACGTGCTTCACTACCAAGTCTGCCCGAGCTGACGAGCAAATCTGACAACTCTAATCTTTTTTTGAGAGAGAAAAAGGGAAAGTAGAAGTTCAGGTAACACCTGCCTTACTCATTTTTATTCAGATAACAAGGAAAGTCATCGCAGATGTAAACCTATGTGATTGGCATGGAAGACCTATGCGCTTGTAGAGGGTAAGAAAAAATCTGAGGCGCCCCTGTTGGTTGGGTCCCCTGTGTGGTGAGCCAAAAGATTTTTTGATATCTCCTGGGGCTACCATCTTTTGTGAAAATATTTCAGCTCCCTTACCAAACAGAAACTCACTAGTAGAAGGTCCAGATACCCAGAAGCACAGCCCTCGGCTGGTCAGCCATAGCATCTATCACCTACCTCATACACAGGGAGCATTCAAGGTCAGAGGCGTCGAAAGATGTGAGTGGAACAGGGAGGGCAGGTTTGGCCTCCTGACCAGCGGGAGGATCTGTGATTCAGAAAGCAGTTAGTCAGAGCCCGAACCACCTTGACTTCCTGGTAGCATGCAATGAACCAGACTATTCTTTTTGGTTGCCACTCTCACCGCGTCCCAGAATTGATTTCATGGCCACCTGACCAATGACAATAGGATAGCCTGAAGCGGGCTCTGGTAGGTTCCTAGCACAAGGCAGGGAATGTCCAGGAGCCTTCATCCAACTGCAACAGGCACCTCGCTCCCCAGCAATCTGCTGCTGCTGCTTCACAGCCCGTGCCAGACCTTCAAAGCTGATGTTGAATCCTGGCACTGCCAACCTCTCTTGGAAAGATTGCAAGCTCCAGATGCTGCGTCTCGGATGCCTACCTATGGAGCATAACTGGGGATGAGCAGAGGGAGGCCTGATCACAATTCCTTGCTTTTACATTCCTGGCATGGGGGTGGGGTAGGCAGTGGTTGGCCTGGAAGGAAGGGATGCCATCGAGGGCCTCCAATAACACTGTCTGATATTCTCTTGATCTTATGCCTTGGCTTTCCACTATGATTATGGAACACTGGCAGGCTGCTAGGACCTGGGAACTGTGCAGGCTCTCACAGAAACCTTGCAGAAAGCCACACAGCAAAGTGGCAGAGCTGGGTGGTCCCCCCAGAGCCCAAGAAGCCCTCCTGTGGAGGCTGAGTAACTGGCACATGGTGTTGCGCCCAGGCATCTCCTCCAAGCCCTTTCCCCCTGGGTAGAGTTGGTACCTTGCTTAGAGACTTTATGAGGCACCTCTGGGTCTTGGGGTTCAATTTGACAATGTTTCCTTTTCTTTTCCTGGCATTTGCCAGTCTTGATGGAGGCAGTTTCTTGACAGGCAGTGTCCCGCTTCTCTTCCTCTTCTTCTCGGTCTTTCCTATTGCCTTCTTGCCCATCCACCTTTCCTTTAGCTGGGTTCACCAGGGAGTTGCAGTCTCCCCTGGCTGCTGCCTCCTCCTGACCAGAACAATGTGGGAGTGCCAGGTTTTCCTGGAGAAAACAAGAACCTAACATCAGCATCTATGTGGGACCAATATTATCCTTTGATATTCTTTACCCGCAAGGGACAAAGAGAAAATGGCAGGGCCCTGCTGGTGCAGCAGACACGCCGCTTAACTGGGGAGCAGACATAGCAGCAGGTGTGACAAAGGAGTGCCCACCCATGCGCAGGTAAGGAAGTTCCCTATACAAAAACAGGAAGCATGGAGGGGAGAGACACCTGGGGCACTGGCGAAGGGGAGAGACGAGGGCACCAGCCCCCTCTCCAATCCCGATCATTCCCCAGCTACCATTTCTGGGAAACCAAGGCAAGCAGCGAGGGTACATGGTGTGCTTCCTCTCTCTTTCACCGCCCGTCCAGGCCATCCATACTCCCCGGACCCTTCCCCCTCCCCCCCACCCCGCCCTGCCCACACCAGCTCCGTCAGGACTTTTGCCAAGGCGTCGGCACAGCTTCATCCCTAGGCCGGTGGATTTCCCTAGTATTCTAACCAGTTCCTTCTATAAGACAAACTACTCCTTTGCTAGACTGGACATGAAAAGTCCGAAAGAGAAAAACCCATGTGGCATAACAGTCACTCATGTCCCTAGCCTGGTACAGGATTTTTGTCCGGGAAAGGGATATTTGAATATTGATCTGCAATTCCAGCGCGTGGTAAGGTTGGTGTTTATGCAGATTCTCCCTGGAGAACCCCGCTCTCCTCAAAATCCATTCCTCCTCAGGTTAAGATGCCCATGTTGTTGTCGCCCTCTAACCTCAACCTTCCCCCCAAAGTTGGTAGACATGAAAAATGGGTGGTGTACAGTTAGGACGAAACAATGAAGTGAGGAGAAAAAGGGTCTTCTGAGTTTCGATCCTGGGGAGCTTTTTTCAACACCACAGCATGAAGTGTCCTCAAGTTTCCTTGAGCCCTAGGTGTTGTGCGCACCGGAGTACCCTGCTTTGCAAAGCCACGTTTGGGCAGACACCCAGTCCCTGTTCCCCAGCTGGCTTACCCTGGAAAGCCAGGGGTGCCATTTTTCTTCATTTTAGATTGAGCTGCCACAAGAAGTCATCGCAGGCACTTTGATTCAGCATTAATGCGCTCAGTCATGCGATCCTGAACTCCAACAATTACTGAAATGCACTAGGGGTTCTCTGATTTCAGGAGATACTCGAAGTTCTGCCCTGTGTATTTGAATCGGGCACACCTGCATTTTCGTCCTTCACTAGGGCAGGGAAGAAGCTGGGAAAATCTAAGCTTTCCAACTGTAGAGAATCCAAGTAGCCACCGAGATCGCAGGGCTGGCACACAGGTGGAGAATATAGGGAAAATAGAGGGAGGACAGCTGCCAGAAGAGGCCTGGGCAAGGAGGGGGGTGTTCAGGGAGAAACTCTACCTTCAGGGGTACACTCTGAGCCCCAGCCTCGCTCCCTCTGCAGGGAAAGCCAGGGCCTGGGGCCATCTCTCTGTGATTCTGTTCCATGGTTTGCAAAGAAAAAAACAAATACCTCTCTTCCTCCCAGGAACTTCAACTTAATGTTTCCTCAATCACTTCCCTCCTCTCGGCTACAAATGTGTACAGGAAGTCTACTCCTGTGTATGACACAGCACAGGGAGATAAAATAACTCCATTTGGGGAGTAGATGGAGTTGTCTGCATCCAAGGGTCTCGGGTGGCACTCAAAGCCCAGCAGCTTGAGCAAACAAGCCAGGAAAGAAGGGGCTGATAACCGCCCCCACCACCACCACCACTAACTGACTGGCTGCAGGGGAAGTGGGCCAGTCCCTTTCTGGTCTGGTCAAACCCCTCTCAGCTGAACCTGACCAAGAACTGAAAAATAAAGGCAATAAATCACAAACCCTGGGACCATGCCCAAAATCTAGTTTTATCTTTGAGAAATAACCTTCTAGCAAAGGACACATTCTCTGGAGCTCCATCTCTTATAAAGCGAAGGAGAGGTAGGGACTCACGCCCCATGTTTGCCCACAAAACAGCCAAACAAAGTGTCACGAAGAGCTGGGTGAGTTGAGTTTTACCTGTGACAACTCTGGTAGATTATGGCTGGTGCCTTCAGTAGCCATTGACTCTACGTGTTCCTTTAATCTAGGGTGAGGTGCCAACAGCTTCAGGATATCGGGAGAATGTTCCTGAGACTCCCCCAGGACTGATGGTGAAAAGAAACTAAGGAGAAGCTGTGACATAAAACAGAAGACTTCACTACTTCAGTTTCTACAGGTGCTGGGGCGAAGGGGAAGGGGCAGGAGGGCAGGGTTTGTGGCGCGGGGAACTCTGAGGAGGAAGGCTTGGATTACAAGCCCCAGCCGCCAGAGCAGAGGGCCTTGCTACCCCTGCATGAGACTCAAGGGCGGGGGGAGGGCAGGGAGCTCACAAAAACACTGTCCCTAGTTCCCACTCCTGGGTCCCCCAGATCAGCGGTGTGGCCCAGGAATCTGGATTTTGAAAAGGCACTGCAGATGCTTCCATAACCCTTGCCAAAGTTGAGAACCACCATTCCGGTCCTAGTACTGCACAGAAATCTTTGCAGTGGGATTTAGAAACCTGTCTAGCAGGGGAGAGACAGAGAGGTGAAGGCAGAAAAGAAATATCAGCTGGGGGTCCTGGAGTCATGTCCTCACCCCAGTGGGTGGATGTCTACATGTGTCTTCTAGGTGCCTTAAAATTTCTTTGCTCTGCCTCCCTCTTGCCCGATCCCCAACCCTGGATCTGTGACACCTTGCGTGAGGGAAAAGCAGAACCCAGCCCTCCTCCCTCTTCTCCCGGCCTCTCCTTCCTCATTCTGTCCCTGATTCTGGCCTTTGCTTTCCAGAGAACATCAGGCCACTTCAAGTGCTGGCAGCAGGCAGGTTCCAGTCGATAGCTGGTTGCCATTGCAAATGGATAATGGCGCGGAGGCAGGAAGAAGGCCCAGAAGGGACTGGGGAATCATAGACGTGTGCACGAGGGGAGCCTGCAGCTCTAGCTGTCCACATTCTTGCTTCAGTTTCCCCTGGTGCCAGCAGGAATCAGGAATACGTATGTGCATGTTGCATGTACCATGTAACTGAGGGGCAGCTCACTTGGTTTCTAAAACATCCCCAAGTGGGTACCACTGAGAGCTTCAACACCCACTAAAGGATGCTCTACCACCCCCTTCCTTGCTCAGGGTGCATGGTCAGGGTACTAATGGAGCAAGGGAGGTTACAGGCCACCAAACTCTCCACTTGGATTTGTTCCCTTGCTGGCCCCAAGAGTCCTTTAATGATGCTCCTGCAGAGGCCACACCTGCCATGTCGCCAAACCAAGGCCCTGCTCCAGTGCTGTCTTCCTCTACTACCCAGCCCCCGTCTCTAATAGCACCTTCGGCTACACCATCTTGTATTAACTTCAAGTTGTGTCGCAGATGAAGTCTTTCTAACCAGATGGCCCGCTTTTGGAGGGCACATGACAGATGTCCAATAAATATTCATCACACTACACGGAATTGAATTAAGACACTTATCCATCTCAGGCTCAGGGACGGGCCTAGTGTTCCAGTCCAAAGTCCTCACAGAGATCTCTATGTCATCTTCCAGCTCTGGGAAACCCACTTCCCAGGTCTAAGCCGACAAAGGCAACTAAGTTAACTTAGAGGGGGAGGCAATCAGTGCCCAGGGCCATATGTGCCAGCTTCCAGAGAGCCCTCCCCCACAGGAGCCAATGTGGGCCCTCAGAAGCCCTCCTGAGTGGCCAAGAGGACCAACCCACTTCTGAAGCAGTCTCTCCGGAATTCTCTCCAAAGAGTGTGAAGCTCTTCAGTGTCAGCCACACTGCACGGAACCCAAAGCAGAGACTCAAAGGGCAGAGGGTGGTGGGAAGGGAAGGGAGGGGAGACAGAGGGGAGATGTGGAAGGAAGCACAGCAGAAGGAAGAGCAGCACTGTGCTTCTCCCCGGAGAAGCTCTCACTCTGGGCTTTCTCAATGGCTTTGAAAAACAAAAATTAGGGTCACCTGTCAGTGAGAATACTCATTCCACATGAATGAAAGTCAATTCCACTTCAGTGTCAGCCTTAGAAAAGCCCAAATGGGTCAAGAAGGGGAAAAAAAAAATCTGAGATAAAAACTTTAAAAATGGGGAGATCCTGTACCTCTAAAACACAAAGTTATCAATCAATGTTACCTCCATAAAACAAATAAAGAAAACCACAACCGAGGCCTGTGAGCGTCTAAGGCAGCTAATCAATACCGAGTGAACCTACACTGTCTCTGTCAGATATTTAGTCCATGCACCCCGGAACTGGATAGTCCCCTTGTTACTCTCCACCCAGCCCCAGGGGTGAGTTCTGTGACCCCTTGCATGTCCTCCTAGGACCACAGGATGGTGGAGTGGCTAAGAAGGCAGACTAGGGAAGCAGACAGAGTTGGGTTTGACTGTTCCTCCACCAATCACTAGCTGAGTAGCCTCAGGAAAGTTACCAAGCTTCAGCCTCCTCATCTGTCTTGCGTACCATGGGGGTAAATTACAGTAAGTTCCCTCAGGGATGTCAGGGAAGTAAATGTATCTTCTACATTAAGCTCATGGCAGAGTGCCTGGTACAGAGGAGATGCTCCGTAAATGCTCCCTGTTTTCACCGCTACAGACCACACCTGAGGCTTAGGGAGGGGCTCGTGGCTTGGAGCAATTCTCCACCACCAGTGTTTCTCTCAGGAGCACCTTGCCCACATTCCCAAACCTGAGCCAGCAACCTCCCAGAAAAGAAATCTGTGACAGGCAGGACCTCCAGAGCTCAGCTCAGCTTCCCCTAGCTCACTGCTTTTGCCAACCCTTCCTTTTCTGGAGCCTTCAGACCAGTCTTGCCTCTTGCTCCCTTTCTTCATCTGCTGTTTTGCCAAAACACACTGCGTCATGCTGAAAAGGGGGCAGGGCACGAGGGGAGCAGAGGCCACCAAGATCCCACCAAGCCTACAACTGCCAGGTCCTTTAGCCAGCCGCCAGGAGCGTAAACTGCAGAATCGGAAGCCACAAAGTCTATGAATCGTGGATGCCTGAACCTTCACTAATGTTCTCAGTGTCTCGGGCCATTTTTTAAATAACCACCACATCCTCTGGGATCCACGAGTTGGAATAACTGTTTGGATTAATCCACAGGGGCTCCTGACTTACACTTGTGAGAGAGAGGATGTTTTCTCTTTCTAGCGAAGGTGATGATTGGAATTCTGCACGTGGCAGGGGACGGGAGGACCAACAGTGAGGGGGCTGCCATGCATGGCTGGTGAAGCTGTGACTCAGTCAAAGGAAAGTTCTCTACCTGCAGGCAGCCCCACACCCCTGACCTCTCCTCAACAGGCAGAATTTTCTTGGTGAGCCTCAAGCCCCATATTAACTGATTTGGTTTAATTTTTGCTTTGTATTCCATCCCATTGACGACCCAGATCCTAAATCAAAGCAGCAGCAACATTTCTCCCAGGCACCTACAAAGGCAGTGGCTGCTTGCTCCATCTGGTTGTACCCACCAAGAGGGCAGTGCTTCTGGGTGATCCACTGGTACTTGCGTCCCCATCCTGTCCCCTTAACCCAGGAAGCAGGACCCCAAATGCCAGGAAGGGCAGATCTCTCATCCCCCTTCTCTGGAGAACACAGAGGTGGGAGCCCATTGGGAAGCTGGACCTGATGTCATTTCCACTCACCTTTTGGGCTTCAGCTCTTGCTCTCTTGTTCTTTCCATCGAGAGACACACAATATAGAAACTCCCTTAGTGCTTCCTCCACCTTGCCCAGGGTGGCTAAGGCTTGTGCTTTTCTGAAGTGTGCCTGGAAGAAAGCATGAGCAATTCAATCCCATACTCATGTGCCTCATTGTGGCTGTTCCTAACAGAAACACCAGCTAAATACTTTGTGGGTGTTGTGTGAAGCGTTGCAAAAGGACAGTCTTGTCTACAGCCCTGGAATGCGGGCAACTCTTTGGAAGCCCATTTTGAGGAAGACAAAACTGAGACGCAGAAAAGTAATACGGCTGGTCAACTGTGGAATTGAGTTTGGGGTTGAATTTGGAGAGCAAAGCCCAAATTCCTAACCACGGTGCCGCACTACCTCCCCTCGCAACCTGCCATCACCAAATGTATCAATAGCAAGACCCTCTGTCAGGGCACATACTAGCCAGTGTTCAGGACCCGCCCACATACTCCTTCCTCTTAACCAGTCCTGTCAAGTAGAAACCTAGTCCACATAACTGGGCAAGTGACCACCTACATCTGGGATCGTTTTTCAGAAGCAGCCCAAGGGTAGGGGCATGGCCTCAACGGGGTCTCAAAGGTAACTAGTGGCACAGTGGAAGTAGAATTGTGCTCTTCGTCACCCGGCAGACAGGCTGGAGAGGAGGAGCCAAGGGTTGAGCAAATGCTTTTCCTCAGTTCACTGTTGATCTCTTGCCAAAAATGGATCAACTCCTGCCATTTCTCGCAAATTAGATGGAACAGAAGATAATGCTAAGTGAAATAAGTCAAAAGGCGAATGACAAATATTGGATGGTGTCACTTATGTGTGGACTACAGAGAAACCTAACAAAGGGTCAGACAAAACCAAACCAATAAACCCTTAACCTCTGACTATAAAACCGAGGCGCCCAGAGGAGGATGCTGGGGTAGGGGTGGGGGATGGAAGGGGCCCAATGGAGCATGGTGGAGGATTGTGGGGGCACCCTGGAGCAGATACAAAGATGTAAACCTACTTTACCTCAATGAACATAATTTGGGAATAAATGAAAGTTCTGTGACTCCTGGGAATACAAGCCCAAGGGTCCTGGGAGAAACTCCAGGGGGAACAGAGAAGCATCCTGGGGAAGAGGAAGAAAAGAGGTGGGAAGAGCACTCCCTCTCCCTGTGTCTTAGGACACATGGCTCTGGCAACTGGGCTGGGAGGACAGTCTTCTTTTGTCATCAGGGCTGCCCTGGGGGCGGGGCGGGAGGGGGGCTGCTCCATACCCTGTTGACTTCAAGGCTGACCTCGAGTGCAACTTAGTGAAGGAAGTTGATCCAGGTTGCTGCTGCTGGGCACTCCCCAGCCTCCCCTTCAAACATGCCTCTTGCAGCCTACACTGGCTGTCAGGGACCTACCTACCTTCTTGAGTGGTGGAGTGGTGGCCCCTGCTCCAAACCTCTTGAGGACCTTTCCCTATGCCCCCCTCCTTCTGCAGATTAATCGTAGCTGATAAGTGGACACCAATGACTTGCTGCTACTCCTCCCAGTAGTGGTTCCCAGGAGTGCCCTGGAGAAAGGCTCACATGACATTTCAGGGATAATGAAGGAGCCTCTGGGATCCCATGAATCACACCAAGTCATGACCCAGGCCAAGGCTGCAGCTCACCCCACTGAGAGCTCTATCACCTGTAGGAGATCTGAGTACTACTGAGCCTTGGTGGGTGACTGGAACAAGGCTGCATGAGATGAACCCCTGCCAGAGGGACATGGCACAGAGAAAGGAAGAGATATGCAAATCACCATGTGAGGTGGTTTTGATTTATATGCATCAGCTCAAGTCTTTTCTCAACCCTGGCAATACCTCTCTGCTTACACTAGTAGTTTGGGGGAGATGAAACAGGCATCAGCTCAAGTCTTTTCTCAACCCTGGCAATACCTCTCTGCTTACACTAGTAGTTTGGGGGAGATGAAACAGTTAAATACTTCCACTAACTCTTCCTTCACTGGGGAAGTCACTTTCCCCATTTCATCCCAATGAGTCTACTGCTTCTCAGTGGACTATACTAGCAAATCCCTAGGTTTAGAGGTGAGCGAAAGAGTTACAAGAAAAGTCCTCTTTCCCCCAGCTCCCTGACCTGTGCTGGTACAAGGCTGGAAGTGTTTCACTAAAGGCCCTTTGCATTAAGACATAGGTGACTTTTAGCAAACTGTAAATGTGTTCCTTGGGAAAGTGAACTTATTAATCTGCTACCACCCAAGAAAACCTTCTCATGAAAGAACATAGGAGATTCACTCTGACATGAATGGCCCTTTGTGCAAGACCACAGTGCTTTATCCGAAGTCCCCAACTCAAAAAGAAAAAAAAAAAGGTCTGATGATTGATGATTTAACATTTTCATCAGCTTGATATCAAAAGTCATCAGGTAGAAAAACCTAACCTAGAATGTTATAAAGTGTGCTACAGTCTTTATCCAATTTAGTGTGACTTCTTGTGTAATTTTCTGCACAAATATTAATATGTTTGATAACGGGGTGTTGACCAGAGCTCACTGAGAGTGTTACCTAATATATGGTATTTCTGAAATCGGAAACATTCTGGATTCTTCTTGTGCCATGGGATTCAGATAAGAGATCATGGACCTAGACTTGGATAAGTCAAGGAAGGCATCCTGGCGCTGTGTAGAGACAGCGCTGCAGTAAGATCCAGCTCACAGATGGCCTCTTGGCAGTGTTCACCTTTGACCCTTACTGTGAGGCAATCAGGGCAGGTAGCAACAGCTTTTGTTTTGCAAACCTTCACACTTGAGGGCCAGAGAGTGAAGCGACTTCCCCAAAGCCACTTGGCTGGCAAGTAGTAGTGCCCTGGCTCAAATATAATCTTTATCTAGACAAAATATTGACAGGTGGCTGAGGGTCAGACCTACAGCCAGAGATGCAGAAAGTGACACTTTGCATCCTGGCACCTGGGAGATGCTCGCCTTCTTTCTCCCCACCCCTCCATGTGACCCAGATGTTGAGGGATACTGGCAGGCTGACAAAGTCTACTAAGGACTTGAAATGGCACAGCCAGTTGGCAATAGTTATCTCACCCTCCTCTCTACTGACCCTGGGAAATGATGCTGATGATGATGCTGATGATGATGACAGCAGCAAACACGCCTATCTATGTACCAGGCATTGTTCTAGGCATCTTATATGAATTAGCTCATGTAATCCTCATATCAATCCTGTTAAGTAGGTGCTTTGAAAATCCCCATGTTACCAATAAGGTGAGACCCGGCGAGGTTAAGTCATTTGCCCAAAGCCACATAGCAAGTAAAAGAAGCAGAGCTGGGGCATAAACTCAGGAAGTCTGGTTCTCAAGTGCATTTTCTAGAATCACAAAGCCCAGGCTGCTCTGCAGGTCATCAGTTAGGGAAGAATCAAATTAGGGAAGAATCCAGTTCTCCTGCAGATGCCTGAGTCACCCTTTACGGAAGGACCTGACACCCAGCTCCTTTGCAAAGCCTTCTCCCTTTGCAAGTGCCTCTCACCCCAGGGAGGCAGCCCTTCCTGAAACTTCTTGCCTACTGTACACCCCCCTACCCATCCCTCCCTTCCCACACTCACCTTGAAACCCATTGGGCGGAGCTTACATGCTATTTCTGCATCATGTAGTGCGTCCTCGTGAGATTCCAAGGTGAAATAAATTTGAGACCGGTTGCTATAAAGCAAATGGTCATTTGGAGCTGCCAAATGAGAGGAAAAAAAAAAACCCTCATGAATGGCCCCCGGCACAGACAAGTCCTGTATGAGGATGGATCTTATGCAAATGGCAAGTTATCTAGGACTTTTCTACTGGGATCCAAAGGCTTAGGTTCCATTTCCAGCCCTAATATTGCCCTACCTACCACATCCACAAGCCACTCGGACTGTGTTTCCCCCACCGTAAAGGAGTCATTTCTGTCCCTCTCTCAAGCTGTTCTTTGGCGGGCTGCAGCAACTTGGCCCTGGCACCCTGCTTCATGGCTACACTAGCTCATGGCAGCCTGGCTCTAGAGAGAGGAATTACCCACAAGAAAACATGCCAGGGACGGGGGTAAGGGAGGTGACAAGAGGTGACCCCCACCCTCCTGACCACCAGGAAGACAAGTCCAAGTCAATCTTCCGGTGACATTAGTGACATCTCTGTCTACGAAGCCCAGCACATATGAAGTTTCTCTGAAAAAATGGAAATGCATTTGCCAGGATCCATTCTCTCATCACAGATGACCAAATACCAGCAAATCTGGACAAGGCTTCTGGAAGTAAAGTGAGGTTGGCTCTCACCAACTCTGAAGCCCTAGATGCCAGCGCTGGACAGGACTTTAGAGATCATCTGGCTCAACCAGCCCATTCTTCAGATGAGGAAAGTCAAACCCAGGGAAAGGCACCTGGTGAAAGTCACACAGTTAACAGGCCAGACTTCAAAACTGGGGTGGAGGCAGGTTTTTGTCTTTTAAGGGAATACAGTATTTAGACTAATGAGGCAACACTGCTACCTTCCTGCCCAAAGATTCAGTTGGGAGGCCCCTTTCCCTTGAAAGGGCGAAGCTGATCTTGACATTTTCATCCTGATTGCTCTGATGGGATTAAAAAATGCTAGGATGAGCCCCCAGAGAAAAGTGGTGGCAGCAAGCAAGGGGGAGGAGGAGGGCCTGCGGGAAACGGCCTGGCCCTTGGGGGATACCTGAAGGGCTTGGCACCTCCCTTGGAGATTTGGACTTAAGAGGCTACCACCTATATCTCCTTCACTCTGCGCTGGTCTTCTCCCTGGACTGGGCTCCAGCTTCTCCGGCTGCAACAGGCTTTGTCCATTTTTCTCACCCCAGGAGTGTGCGAAGGGTTTGCCTGGGTGCTCATTACTTGCTCTTAAGACAGGAGCAGAGTTGACAGTGTTTTCCATCCTGCTTTTCCATCCCTTTTCCCCAGCGTGTACCAGCCGGATGGAGACCTGTGTGCCCTGACTGGGCACCAACAGGGTGCTGGGGGTGGAGGGGGTCCCCCTCAGATGCCAGTTTTTTCCAGTTCGCTCTGCTCCTACCTTTCCCTTATTACCTGTTGCAAGCCTGAGAGGAGATTCAACACGTGGAGATTCCAGCCCAGCCCCTCCTGCACCCATCCGAAGCAGGCACGGGGCGCCCTCGGATCCCAGAGCCGTGTCTGCCCAGCCCTGCCCGGCCGCCTCCTCCCCGGCACGCTTCGCCAGACACCGCGCCGCTCCGCCTGGCCAACTCCTGGCTGCCAGCCCGAGCTGGGCAATACCGACCGGCGGCTCGGCGGCCACTTCCTGGGTCCAGATGTGGGGGGTGGCGGGGGCGGGATGGGGGAATGGCTCTCTGGGGGAACTCGAGCGCCCGCCGGGGCCCGGGGGCTGCTCACATTGCCCTTGAAGCCGCGAAGCCCGGCCGGCCCTGCTCAGGCAGCACGGCGAAGCAAGACAGAGGCGTGCCCCCTCTGCCGCCAGCCCAGCCGGCGGAGATCCCTGAGCGGTGGCCTGGCACGGTCGCCTGCCCGCCTCGCGGGTAGGGGTTCGCGGCCAGGGCACAGGTTGCGGGCGCGCGGAGCGGGGGGGGGGGGGGGGCATCTATTTCAGCTGAGGATCGTGTGATAGGAAGCGGTGACAATGAGTCACAGGGCAGCGGGGCGCTCCCCGCCCCCCGCACCAGCTCGCGGGATGGTTTCCGAGCCGAGCGTGGCCCACTTCGGTTACCTCAGCCGTTACACAATCCCGTCCGCCCGCCCGCGCGGAGGAGGGGCCGCCCGGCCCGGGCCGTTCGCCGCCCTTATGCAACCAGTGCTCTCCTGACCTAATTCCACGCCGGGCCCACCCCGCCCCGGCCGCGGCCGCAGAAGGGACAACTCCCGGCGGCGACGGCGGCCCCGGGCCAGGCGGGAGCGGCAGACGCCGGCGCCGCCCGAACGTCTCGGACCCGCCGGAACCCAGAGGGCCCGGCGCGCGGGCGGCAAGGGCGCGAAGTTGCTCTCCTGGCCGGGAAGGCGCGGCCAGGTGGCCGGGGGGCGGCGGGGAGAGGCCGCGGGAGAGACGGCGACCGCGAGCAAGAAAGCGCGAGCCAGAGGCGAAGAGCCAAGCAGAGGAAGAGCGGCCCCGACAGAAGCCGCCTGCGGGCCGCGAACCACGGACGCCGACGCAGAAGAGACAAAGAGCGAGCGAGACGGAGTTGCGAGAAGGAGAGGGGAGCGCCGGCGACGGGCGCAGAGGCGGCGGCCCCGCTCCAGGAACCGCTCTCCCCGCTCCGGCTGGGGCCAGCCCGCGGCCGCGGCGCCCCCTCTCCCGTGGGGTTCGCGGCCCCTCCCGGCGCCGGGTGCGCTCACCTAGCCTCACCGCCTCATTGTACTTGAGCAGCGCCGCCTCCACCTGGCGCTCGCGGTACAGCCGGTTGCCCTCGTGCCGGAGTTGCGACGCCCGGGCGGGGCCCGGGAACAACTTGCCGAGGAGGCCGCTGAGCACCACGTTGACCCGCAGCGGTGGCGGCGCCTGCTGCCCGGCCCGCCGGGCCCCGCGCACACGCCCCGGGGCCACCATCAACGCGGAGAGCTTGACCCCGCACAGCGCACAGCGCCGGTCGGCCGCCCGCCCGCGTTCCAGACACAGTTTGCAAAAGGTGTGGCCGCACGACAAGGACACGGGGTCTGAGAGAAACCCGTGGCACTTCCGGCACTTGAAGCCGTCCCACACCTCGGTGGCCTCGGCGGCCGTGGCCGCCCCTGCCTCTTCCGCCGCCACCGCGCGGCTGGCCGCGCTGCTCCTGTCCGCGGGCGCCGGCGCCTTGCCCGGCCGGACGTTCTCCGCCAGGCAGCGCACCAGCTGCTCCAGCTGCTCAGCCACCAGCTGCTGCCTCTCGGAGAGCTGTCGGTACACCTCGAGGGCTTCCCGCAGGCGCCCCCCGGACGCCAGGGCGTCGGCCTTTGTGAGCAGGACTTTGCACTCCGGCGTCGAGGCCCGCAGGGGCTGCTCGCGCTCCGGCTCCCGCGTTGCTAGAGGTGCGGGGCCTTCGGTAGCCGCCTCTGGGTGGGGGCCAGTGTCTACGCCGGCCTCCGCTGCCGCCGGTTCCTTCGGCTCCGCCAGCTCTAAGTTGTTGCTGCCGAGCTCCGCGAGCAAGCTCAGCATCTGTCCGCTCTGAAATGCATCCATAGGAGAGGGACGCGCGCGGGGAAGAGGCGTCTAGGGGCCAGGGAGCCGGAGCTGGGAGCGGCGGCTGGAGGGAGTCCGGGCTGCCACGGCCGCCGAGCCGCCGCGCGCCGATCCCCGCCGCGCCTCCGCGAGCTCCATGCCGGCCACCCCGCGCCGCCTAATAACTGTCTTGTCTCAGCAAAGTGTTATATAAAACGGCACCACGTGACGCGCCGCCACGCCGCTCATTGGCCGGCGGCGGGGAAATTGTTACAAAACCAGACAGTTTTGTAACAGTGTTGCGCTTGCTTCTTTTGGCTTCGCTTTTCTTGGCTTCTTTTTGAGGTTGTTTGTGTTTACACTCCGCCTTATTTCCCCCTCGCTCTGTGGTTCCTTTTCGGAAGAGGGGGAGGGAAAACAAAGCCGAAGTCTTCTCTCGGGCTTTTCCGTCTCCAAACACTACCCCATCCCATTCCAAACCCGCCAGCAAACAGGTCCCCTCTGCCAGCCGCTCGCTAGCGGTCTCCGCCCCCATTTCTCCCCCGAGAGGCCGGCACCTCCGGCGCGCAGTCCTCCAGGTCTTTGGGGACACCGAAGGCTCGCTCTCCTGGGGGCGACGGCTGCTGTCTGCCATGGGAAGAGGGTTGAGAGGGTCCCCAGCAACACTCCAGCTCTCGATCCCAGTCTCGCCCGCGAGCCCTGGGAGCTCCACCCGGGTTACTCACAATCGGGGTCCCTGATCACCTTCCCCAAAGGAATCCCCTAAAGGTAGTGAGTGCGGTTCCCCTCGGCCGCTGGGTCTCGTGCGCCGGGAGCGACTCGGAGCAGCGGGCCCGGCGGGCACAGAAGTTGGGTGGCGCTCGCTGAGTGGAGAGGGACGCGCCGGGAAGATGCGCTCGTCGGCTCGCGCACCGGGAGGCGCCTCGCGTGCTCCGCTCCTCAGCGCTCTCCCCCCAGCCACGAAACCTGCGCTGGGGCAGGCGGCCCACGCTGGGCTGGAGACGTGCCTGGCCCGGGGGCCATCGGCCTGATAGGCGCAGCAGCGAGAACTTGGCCGGCTGGGCTCAGTGGGAACTCGGGGAGGGTGTGTGTGTGGGAGAACCACGGACGGAAGATGGAGACCCAGAGCGCTACTCTGAAGAAAGTCCCCGAGTTCTGCCGCAGTTCAGGGCCCGGTGGAGCTGCCTCCAGGGTCCGGGACCCTGAGCACTCAATTCTGACAAAGGCGCACGCGTCACAGTGGGGGGCAGCGCGGGAGCGCTGAAACTGGACACGAGAGCTCTGCCTGACTCACAAAGGCTAGGGAGCCTCCGGGGTGCTCCTCACTCCACCAGAAGGCCAGTGTGATCCGCCCACACTGTCTCCCTTCCCCCCAAACTTCGGACGGGAATCACAGGCACAAATAAGCAGAGGCTTGGAGACATAAAGGATTCACGCAGTGCTCCCACGGTCACGCTCCTCCGAGCAGGGAGGCGGGCTCTGGGATTGCGTCGGGCTCGGTTGGCTTCCAGAGCCTGCAGGCTCTGGCCAGTGCCAGGAACAGTGCCCAAGGCAGAGCGCCACCCCAGGGAGCTGGAGACTTACACTTGGCTCATACTGTGGCCATTTCTTAGCTGAATGACCTTGGGCAAATGACCCAAACTCTGGGAGCTGTTCTTTGGCTTCTGAACAAACAAATGTCAGGGATGATCTTAGATGATATCCAGTCGGGTTTCAGAGCTTCAGATCACAGGTTCCATCTGACTCTGTCTCTTAGGTGGTTAATCATGCCTGGAGTTATCGCCAAGGCCCCAGCGAACCAGTACAACAAACGGATGCTTAGAGCCTCCTCTGGTGAGACAGCACAGGAAGAGAGGGTCAGAGGGGTGAGGGTAAGTTGGCTTACAGGGGACAGAGACCAGGAAAAAGAGACAGGAAGTCAGGATGTAGCCAGGGAGGTGTAAGGCACACACAGGAGAACTTGGCTGGCAGCCTTGGCTTTGTCATTACTTGCTGTGAGACCTTGGACAAGTCCTCCAAGCAGGCCCCAGTTTGTCCTGCTCTCCAAACCTCTCTCCAGTCCTAACCTTGAGTGACTTCCAAGACCAGATTTCATGACACCAACTCCACTAGGTAAATACAAAAGACTAGTCCAGATGCCGTGGGTGGACTTTGGACAGGGGTGAAGCCAGCAGTTGTAGTGGAAGGACAGGACCACCAGACAGCTGTCCTCTTCCTTGGGATCATGTCTGGGGTAGATTCTGAAGACAGGGAAGTCAGGGGATTGGCCAAGAGGTCGAGCAAATGCCTATGCCAGGCAGTCGAGGAAAAACTGGGACTTCTGCTGCCTAAGGGGAGCTTCTTTCACCCACAAGTTTCCCCTGCTGTTGAATGGTGTCTTAGCCCATTTGGGCTGCTGCAACAAAATACCACAGACTGGGCAGCTTATAAACAACAGAAATTAATTTCTCACAGTTCTGGAGGTTGGAAGTCCAAGATGAAGGCGCTGACAGGTGTTTGCTGAGTGTCAGATTCCTGGTTCACAGACAGGTGTCTTCTTGCTGTGTCCTCTGGTGGAGGGAGGAGCAAAGGGTCTCTTTTATACGGACAGTAATTCCACTCACCTCCCAAAGGTCCTCCCTCCAAGTACCATCACACTGGGGAGTAGCTTTCAACATATAAATGGGGGGGGCACACTGAGTCTTACAGCAGGGTCCCCAATATTAATTATCTGCCTGCCTCTTAAGGCATGTGTGAGGACTGATGATGTGTGGGGCAGATAAAGAAATTTATATGAAAGAATCATGAGATGTTTCACGATGAAAACATCTTAATTCAAGAACTTTATCCCTCTGACAAGTTTTAAAATAGAAGTCTGTCACCCCAACTTGTCCTCCAGATACAGGACTGGGATAAGCCTTGTTCCCAGGAATACCTGGAGGAGTAAGTACCCCCTGAGTTGGTTTCTCTCCCTTGCCCACTGGGGGACGGAGAAGCAAGGATAAGGCCAAGTCAGGCAGAAGGAGGGTCTTGTCCTGGTGGCATGGGATAGAGAGGTACCCAGAGCTGACCATGAACTTGGCTGAGAATGTTAACAGCTGCCGGGGTGATGCAGCACCACCTACGCACTGACCAGGCCCTACGAGAGTTTCACAACATATTTTCAAATCAGGACAGCCTTGTGGGATAACACCAAATTGGTTTCTATTGAATATGGACAACACTGCTGAAGTGGTTTGCTTTAGTTCTTTATTTTTTAAACTGCTTTAATTTTATGAAAAAAAAAAAAAAGGTTGCTTTTTTTTTTGAGGTAACTTTGGTTTACAATGTTGCATATGATTCAGAGATATAGGTTCATCCCTCTTCAGGTGTATGTTACCACCTCACACCCACTACCAAGGTACCATCGTATTCCACCTAAGTCCCTCCCCCTTTTGTTCTCTGCCCCCCACCCCCTTTCTGGTTACATTCAGATGTCCTGGCTTTGTTTTGGTTTAGTTTGTCTAATCCTCTGCTTTGTCTCTCTATGTTGCACATATGAGTGAAATCATCCAGTATTTGTCTTTCTCCTGACATTTTTCGCTTAGCATATGCCTTCCAGGACATTCCTATTTTCTCCATTGAAATTACAAACATTATATTCATATACATTTGTGGATCAAATCAGAACCCTCCTATGCAAAACTCCCCCCCACCCCCGCCCTTACTAGCAGGAGCTCCTGAGGAGTGGGGAGAGGTGGACATCCCCTTTTCAGATGCAGCTCCTCTTCACTTAAAAGGTGGATTCTTCAAAGCTCCATTTATTTTGCTGGAATCACTACTATGTGGCTAAGGTGACCCAGGAGGAAAGTGCAGAAGTTGATAAGCTTTCCAGTTGACTACAGCAAGTTTTCCCACTGGGCTCTGAGGAACCTCTCTGGGTCCAGAGGGGAGAGCAGGCAGGACTCAACCCTAGCTCCCCTCAACCAGGCACCGTTGCATCCATCTGTCTCACGTAGCAGGCTTCACGGGCACAATTTCACCGTCAAAAGACTTTCTGTTGTTTTAAAAAGTTTGGAAACCATGGCAATTTTCAGCTATGTTAACATATTTGTTGAGCATCTTCTATGTAGCAGGAACTGTTCTAGGCACTGCAGCTGTATCTAAGCAGCACTGAGCTCCTGGGGTTGCCCAACTTTTTCCCACATGTTCTTGTTCGGGCTTGCCAGGCAACCAGAATCTCTATGAGGGCAAAGACTAGTGTCCTGTATCCCTCGTTTCCTCCTCAGAGGACAGTATTTGGACAGAACTTAATAAATATGGCAGTGGACATTCTGTGCTGGATGGGAGCGTGCAGAGGGACAAGAGGAAACCCAGCTGGAATATCATACCCTTGCCCTGGGTCATTCACAGAGAGCGTGGGCATACTGGTAATCAAGGGCTAGTAGTCCCACAATTGGGAAGGGCTGTCCTGGGATGGAAGAATCCATGAAAGCCAGGAGCTTGGGATGCAGAGTGTGCAACTCTTGACACACACACCCTATGCATGGAAGCTTGGCAAAAGCATTTATTTGACCTATACTTGAATTTTTCATTTTATAAACTGGGAGTGACCCATCCATTATGCAGTCCTTACAAGAAAAAAAAAGGGTATTATGTGCATTGACGACATGGGCATGCAAAAAGCTGCCCCTTGCCATCTAGAGTAGGCAAAACCCAGAGCTAAAAACAAGACCGAAACACAACTTTGCAGATCAGCCCTGGTTTCACCAATGAGGGGCTTGAGGGCTAGAGAAGGCAAGTGACTTGCAGCGGGTCACAAAGGGAGTTTGTGGTACAGCCAGGATTGGAAGTGAGGGTGCTAGCTTATTTTAAAGTTCTTTCCACGTGATCAGAAAGGTGCCGAAAGACAGAGAACATGTCCCCCAAATGGGCCAAATTATTTCAGATTTCCTAATTATAAGATTTGCAATTCAACATGTATTGAACATATACTATGTGCTAATGGAGTTGGCATTTGTGGGACAATTAATAGAAGGGGATGACACAGTTCTTACCCTCCAGTAGCTGGCTGAGGAAACAAGAGGCAAAGATTTGAAATAGTTAAGTAAAAATAACAGGCAAGATGTGAGAAGTGCCAACATTGGGGGAACAGTGAGTCCAAGGGAAAGCTCCAAGTAAATAGCAGAGCTTCCCATCTCATGGAGAAGGTCCCTCTACACTAGGTTGGTGATGATTTAAATGGAGAAACCAAAGACCACCCGCCACTGAATTCCAGGGGCTCTCCTTCGCCTTGGAGGCCAAGTGGCAGGAAGAAAGGATGAGAAATGCAAGTAAGTGGGGCTGGTTAAGGCCCAGGAATTTGTATTTTGAAGGCTTCCCATGTGATTAAGATGCTCAGCCAGCTTTGGGGTTCACCCATGTAAAGGGTAATGCAGAATAGATTGGGAAAGTGCTCCCCAATAATCCCTATCTTCCTAGCTCATCTTCACTCTCTCTGGGGGTCAGTATCATCATTAATTCTTGCCTACATTTTACTCAAGGGAAAATGAGGGTCCAGAAACTTTCAATGACGACTTCGAGGTCATTCCGCAGGTAGTGGAACTGTGGTTTCTTGCCCCCCGACCTGTAGAAACCCAGAGATCACAAGATATCATTCCCATGAAGATTTTGCTTCATTTCTCTGCAAGACAAGTCAGACTCGCTTGGTGAGCCAGACAGTCTGCTGCCCAGAACACAAAAAGGAACGAGTGTCTGAGCTGCCAGGTGTGTGGGACAGAGCCCAGGGCGAGGCCAGTGGCTGGGAGCGCAGAGTTCTAACTTTGCTGTGTGACTCAGCCCAAGTCACTTCCCCTCTCTCTTTGTGTGCCCTTCAACTATTAATAATGATGCCCCATGTCACCAGTGGAATGAGCTACTAGTAATGGAAAACGCACAGCGCAGTTAGTCCCTAAGGGATTCCTGGGAACAGAAGGGACCTGCAGCCATCTGCCCACCATTGTGAGTAAAATATGTGCTGGCTGCCTGTAGAGTAGAGTCATTTTCTTCCCAGGAGAGTGAGCCTGAGGTTGGACCCTGCTCTAGAGACCTCGCAGAGGGGCAATCTGGTTTGAAGAGGAAAAGTAATAAAAGGCAGGTTAGCTGCAAGGAAAGCAAGAAACAATCATCAGAAGGAAATTATCTGACGACTTTGGCAGGCTGGGATGTTTTCTAAATTGTAGTATACAATTTAATACAAAAACATAAAATTGACCATTTTAATCATTCTTAAGCCTATGGTTCAGTGGTACTCAGTACATCCTTGTTATTTTGTAACCATTAACACCATCATCTCCAAAACTTTTGTCTCTTGCAAAACCAAAACTCTGTCCCCATTAAACAACAACTCTCCATTGCCCACCCTCCCCATACCCCACACCTATCCAGCCCCTGGCCACCCCCATTCTACTTCCTGTCTCTGTGAATTTGACTGCTCTAGCCGCTTCAAATAAATAGAATCATCTTGTGACCGGCATATTTCACTTAACATAATGTCCTCAACGTTCATTTATGTGTGGCAAGTGTCTGTATCACCTTCCTTTTTAAGGCTGAATAATGTTCCATTGTATGCATTTTCATTTTGTTTATCCACTCATTCTCTGATGGACATTCACGTTGCTCCCATACCCTGGCTATTGTGAATAATGCTGACATAGATGTGAGCATACAAATCTCTCTTCCAGACCCAGCTTTCACTTCTTTTGGATACATAACCAGAAGTGGAATTGCTAGGTCACATGGTAATTCTATTTTTTTTTTTTTGGAGGAACTGGCATACTGTTTTCCATAATGTGTAAGGGTTTCAATTTCTCCATATCCTCACCAATGCTTATTTTCTGCTGTTTTTATCATAACTATTCGAATGCATGTGCAGTGACATCTCATTGTGTCTTTGATTTGCATTCTCCTAATGATTAGAGCATCTTTTTCAGGGGCTTATTGGCCATTTGTATATCTAATTTGGAGATATGTCTATTCACATTTTAAGTTGGCTTGTTTTTGTTGTTGTTGCTGAGTTTTAAGAGTTCTCAATATTTACTAGACATTAACCCCTTATCAGATATGTACTTTGCAAATGTTTTCTGTTGATAATGTTCTTATCTGAAGACTTTAAGGAACTGGGAGATGGTTAGAATCAGGTTAGATCTTGAACCCAAAGCACCTGGATTCCCAATCTTGCTATTTAAGGTTGAGCAAGCTACTTAACCTCTTTGAGTCTGCCTTGTTTTTTTCATGTGAAAAATGGGAAAGATGCTTATAAAAGGATGTAGCTCATAAGGTTGCTATGATGACTAAATGAGATCATATATCTAAAATCTTAACCACAGAATCTAGCCCAGGCTAAATGCTCAATAATTGGTGGCCTTTATTAGTATTGGGCATAAAAAGGAACGGGAATGATGTAATTGAAATATGATATTAGTTATCAAATGGGCGATTTGGCCAACAATATTAAATAACCAACCTGAACAAAGTAATATTACATAATACTTAACACTTGTGTAGCAAGTTGCAGTTTACAAAGCATTTAAACAGTCATCATTCATTCAAC